TGTAATGACTGGGTTAACATATTTTTCACACAGTGTTCACAGTAATAATTCAATTACATATACAAAATTTTTATCTTCCAACTTCTAACCTTAATGTGCTCATTATAATTGTAATATATTCTTTTATGTACTTATTAACTCCTAACACTTAGATATTATAGATGTCATTCAGTGTTCAACCACATTTTCAATATCTCAACTTTCTATAAACATCATTAAAACCAAATTATCAGTAACATCTAATCAGTCCCAAGTTTATATCTCTAAGTCCCCTGGATTTATAGTCTATAAATAGACTATATTTTCCAATATATATATTTCTATCCTGTTAATCATAATACTACTTTTAAATATACCTACTCCTAGTCTCCCATTTCCTAATCTTAATATATCTGTATTCATAAATTCTATTATATATATGTGTGCGTGTGCTACTATTCCCCCAATTTAAACTTTCTACTTATTGATTTTCAATATTGTTACTATCTTACAAAATATTGTTTCTCTATCCATCATCTCTCAGCCTTTCTAGAATTTCATCATTTATTGATTTTTTTGATGATTCTTTTATATTTCTCTCTTGGAATCCTATGTCTTTGTAACAATTTTACACAAACTGATTATTCCCTCTGTCTTATTCTTTATCTCCTTCTGCTGCATCTTTTGAATATCCATCCATAACCCTTTCTTTGTTTTTGTGAGCTCCTCCTTTTCCCCCCTCTATTCTATTATAAGCTCTTAAGGAATTGTCTATTGGATTTTTAGTATTTGTCATTGCTGTCTTTTCAGTATTTTTCTCTGATTTTAACTTATTTTTATCTTTTTGTAGTTTATGTTTCATTGTTCCCTCAACCACTCCTTCTAATTTCTCAGCTGTCTTCTGTGTATCATATTCATCTTTCCCCACCATTTGTTAAGTGCCCTCTACTTTCACATCTTTATCTTTAAATATGTCCATCAGCTTTTTATAGTTCTTTGTTGCTATTTCTAACATTTCTTCATAAAACTTTATTGTTTCCTGATGGGTCATTTTCTAACAAATTAATATCCCTCTAATATCCCAATATCCCAACATCTAACTCCCCCAAAATCAATTATTAGCAAGATTTGATCAATCCCAAAGTTGTTTCTCCAAGTCCCCAAAATGTCTATAAATTTGTGCTTTTCAGTCTTTATAAATTTAAATTTACACCTTCCCAATTATCCAGAGTTTAAAATCTTATTTGTCTTTTCTTCTTTTTTTTCTTTTTTCCTTCCCCCTTCTGTCACTTTTCTTCTTTTCCTTCATAAGATGATCTATCATGTAATGTTTAATAACCCAAATCCAATTTAGCCCACCAGGTTTCTTCCAATCTTTCAAATCCGCTTTTCAGTGTATTGTTCCAGTAGAGTTTAAGTGTTTAATTTAATTTGCCTTCTGAATCTTCAAGAAGTTCAGTAAATATTTCCCAGCATTCCAACTGCCTACTAAGATAAAGTCAAGGTCAGATAGTTTTCCAGATGTTATTTACTTTCTCTTCATTTCCTTTTGGATTTTGTACAATGCAGTAATCTTCTTCCTCCAGTAGATGGCTCCCCTGCTTCCAATTCCAGAGTTCCACAGAATATAAAAAACCAGAAACAACTGATTGTCATCCAGTCAGGGGAGTTAGAGATAAAGTTTAGAAAAACGATTTCTCCCAATAGTCACTTTTCATAACGTTGTTTGGCTTTTCCAGGCTTTCTATGTTTTAAATCATCCTTTAGGTTTTTCTTTTACTTCTAAATCTTTAATCTTCTTCTTTAGTTTTTAGTCTTTAATTTTTCTCCATAAATCCAATCACCGCTTTTTTAGTGTTTGGAGATCATTGTTGGAACTTTTAAGTTTAAGTTAAGTCTCTAAGATAATAGTTGGAAATTTTCTCACCCAGTTTCACTGCTCTGTCTACACACCACTCCAGCACAAGATCTTAGTGTCCCGGTTGTCCTAGCTTGTGACTGACCAAAAATGGCCGTCGTCCCTGCTGCTGTTCAGGAGAACTTTCTTCAGATCAGCAAGGAAATTGCATTTTCCTTGCAATCGACCAAGTACCTCTCCTTTCTTCACCTCCCCTCCAGGGAGGTTTAACCCCATAGTGTCTCCCAGCAAGCAGTTGCCGACTGCATTTCATGGAGGAGCTCTGCTATTTTCCAGTCATTTTCTCCACGACGTCAACCGGAAGTCCAACATATGAATTTTTTAACATAACTCATAATGATGTGGCACTGCAACATGCTCTATACATGGCTGTCCTTGAGGACCATATAGAAGCTACAGCTGATCCAGAATACAACGGCATGAACGCTTACGAGCATAACCTAGTATGTCCAAATAACACTTCTGCTGTATGAGTTGCACTGGTTACATCGAGCTTTTCAGTGCAATTCATGGTGTCAGGAATAATCATGGTATAGAGCCTGGCTATCTGAGGGATGATCTTTCTCCCATTTCTGCCCACCTCTTAAGATTTAACAATATGAGTATGGTTCATTAAGCAATCCATAAATTAAGCAGTCTGACAGGACTGGGGAAACATGCCTTCTTTGTCAGAGTGCCTGTCATTTGGAATATTTCATCAGATGTTCAAACTGGCCTAACTCATAACAGTTTTAAATGATGTTTGAGAACCTGGTTTATTCCTGAATTTCTAGGATAGGTCACAGTGGGCTCATCTGGCATGAAATATCTCCTTCTGTTAGGTATGTATCAGGGATATAATGCACTACCTTCGCTACTGGATTGGAAACGTGACCCCCGCTTCTGCGCATGCGCAGAGGGTAAAAAAAGGGACGTGATGACGTCCTGGAGGCTCCGCCCACCCACCTCCGGCCCTACCGGATTGTGTGAGCCCGATAGATCCGGCCAGATATCACTGCTGGTATGTATGTTTTCCTCTGTTATGTTTGCTATTGTCTAGTTTTAAGTATTGTATCTATTTTTAATCTATATGCTCCCCAAAGTTAATTAGAGTGGCCTTATAATTATAAATTTGTCTGTGTGGGAGGGTTCATCATGGTGCATGTGCTGTGTGTGTGAGACACGTACATGTATAGGCAAAGAAATCTAACCAGGGTGAGTGCTTGCATACTGCATCTGCTAGCATGTATAGTATGTGGTCACTATACTTGTATATATGTGGCATCTGTAACTTGATGGCTGCCATCTAGGCCAGAATGCGGTCAGCTTTAGATCCGCGGGACCACCCTAGAGCTGGTGAGGAACCACCCTGCTGCCTCAGCCCTGCCCCTGGGGACTTGTCACCTGTGCACACCCCCAGGGGGCAGGGCCGAGGCAGCGGGCGTGGCCCCTAGCTGGCTCCAGGGCTGTCCTGTGGATCTACGGCTCACTGTATTCCAGACCAGATGGCTGCCATCCAGTTATAGATCAGCACCTGGCTGAGGTGCCAGGAGCTGGTCCTTTGCTGCCTCAAGAGCAGCCCCAGGGGCCAGATCTAGCCACATCAGATCAGGCCTTGAGTTTGACACCCCCGGAGAGAAGGAGAAAGGGAAGAGGAAGGAGGAAGGAAGGAAGGAGATGGGAATAAGGAGAGGAGGAAGAGGAGGGCAGGGAGGAAGGAAGGAGATGGGAATGAGAAGGGGAGGGAGGGAGGAAGGAGATAGGAATGAGGAGGAAGGCAGGGAAGTTGGCAGGCCCCCCAGCCATGCGCCCCCCCCCGAATTCAACCACAACCCTGATGTGGCCCTAAATGAAATCGAGTTTGACACCCCTGATCTAGAGAAAAAAGTGTAACAAGGAAGCATCACTTTAGTACTTCGAATTTTTCATTGCCTGTAACAAATATAGCTAGTCAAAAGAAAAAAAAATACATACTGTAGTCAAATAACGATAACTGGAGTTCTCGTTATCTCTTTCAAAAACATATACATCAGTAGAAGTCAGACTGATACTGGATCTATCCTGGCAACATCAATAGAATTTAGATGTAATCATCAAAATTCATCTGGCAGGATTCATAGAGGCTATTTGGTGGTTATGACTTTATTCTGGAATTTGCTTCAGGGAATCTTGTCCCACTGTTGCATTAGTAAAGACCTTCCTTTTGGGAGGAAGCATCCAGAGATAGACAGAATTACTTTTTGCTGCTATAGTGGTTGGATTATATTTCCTCATTTTGATTGGTGGTGTGAGCTTCCTAGAACTCCAAGAGGATAGTAAAATACGTTTTAAATTACAAGAAGAGATGAAGGTGAATGTCTATAAATCCTTTATATCTAAGGATATATTGTAACTAAGGATAATTGTAATTAAGAACTATAATTGAGAATTTAGACAGCTAGTTTAAGCAAGTTCTCATTATTGAAGCATTTTGTTGCCATCAGGTTACAATTGAATAACAAATTACAATTGAATAACAAATTACAATTGTAAAAAGAATAATTTCAGGAACAGATTTATCTGTAAACAAAGAGCAAGTCTGGGAATTATTTAAAAAAAGGATTCCTTCTCCTGGCAGATTTCCTTGTGTCTCAGCAACTATGAAAAAAGCAGGATGACAGTTTATTTATGCATATTTCAGGGGGGGGGAAAAAAACCCTTTGCTTGGTGTATGTCACTCCTTACACAGCTTTGAGACAGCACAGCACTGCCAAAACCCAACAAGCAGCAATCCTTTTACTGCCTGTCTATATATGATTTACTACCATCTCTTGTTTGGTCTGAGATGTTGCAACTTGATGAGAATTTTACTGGCTTTAAATTCAAGGGGTAAAAAGAGGGGAGGGGAGGCAAACACGGAAGGGAAAAAAAAAAAGAAACTGGAAAAACACGTTTATGTTAAACTCGAAATTAAATTAAGCCTTTCTAAGTGAAACTTCGGATCTCAACTCGAGTTGATTCCAATCATATTATTTGACAGCGGGGGCTCCAAACGGTGGGAAGAGAGGGCCCTGTTATCCGGGGGGGGGGGAACCGCCTCAAGGGTTTCTGGATCAGGCGCAGCCGCCCCTGAATTCAGCCACTTGCGTAGGCCTCCTCAAGCGGGTCCCGAAGCGTTGAGAGGAGGCGGCCTCGGAAGGCCGCTAAACAGCCCATCCCTAAACAGGGGAGGGGTCGGAGAAGCTGGGAAGCAGAAAATGGTCGAGGGCTGTCCCTGCCCTTGACATCGAGCCGCCAGAGCCGTTTGGCTGGGAGGGGAAGCGAGCCGAGTGGGCAGCGGACCAGCGCTCCCTCCCGAGACCGTCCTCCTGCTCCCGTCATAGGGCTTGTTATTCTGTAGGCAGCGGCGACGGAGGCTGCACGAAGTCTCCCTATAGGACCGCAAAGGGCCGGCAGCCGCGTCCGCCTCGGTAACATGCAACTGCGAGAAGAGGAGGAGGAGGAGGAGGAGCAGGCCAAGGTGTGAGGAGGAGCCGCGGCGGCTTCTGCTTTTGGTTTGTTTTGGTTTCGGGCGTGTTTTTTTTTTTTTGTCTTTTCCGCCCTTTTCGTGTTTTGGCTGGCCTCACAGGAGGAGGAAAATGGAGTCCTTCCCCAGTAGCGGTGAGTAAAAGCAGTCCTCTTTCTGGCCTTCCCGCGCGCCAGCGGTAACCTGACTCCTCCGGGCTGCTGCTGGAGGACCTCTGCTTACAGCAGAACCCCCCGGCCCTCAGGCGGCCGTTTAAGAGAGGCCAAGGCCCGGCGTCAAACTTCCTGAAATGTCAAGGCCGCGCGCTTTTAAGCAGCCGGCTTCGAGAAGTCTTCCTCCCGCGCCCCCAGGTGTGTTGGGGCGAAGGTGGTCGCCCCGCCCCGTGCAAACGCCACCCATCCCCTTCAAGAAAGCCTTGAAGGTAAGGTTGCTGCTATACGGTGACAGCCTGGGAGTCGCCGGTGGAAAGTTTGGGGGAAGAAGGACGGCTCTCCCCCCCCCACTTGCCTACCGAAAAGGTCTCGCGGGTCGAGCAGTTAAGTTTTCACGGGTTGCGTTTGGCTTCCTGAGATGCAGGGAGAATAAACCCGACCCGTAAAGTGGATACATCAGTTTGGGGCTGTGGGGAGCAGCAAATAATTTCTGAGTGGGAACTGCCATGTAAAAAAGAGCACATGTTGATAATTGCATCCAGAAAGGCAGGGAAATCCTCCTCCTTTGGAGAGGAAGAGGGAATCTCTGTCAACACCTGTCTTTGGCTGGGAGCCAACTGCCTCTTAAAGTGATGTAAATTCTTTCTGACTTGCTGGGTTTCTTTTTTCTTAAATATTTTCTTTCCTATTTATTGGGTTCTACAGCTCAGCTTTTCTAGGGTCTGACTGGAGGTGTCCAGAAGCTGATTGGAAAATGAATTGGCTCCTGAAACTGGGCCAAGAGAAGGTTCTCCATTCCCAAGCAGGAATTTTAATTCAAAGATGATGGCTACTGCTGTTTAGGCAATATCAACAGAGCAATTCTCATTTGGCTTATCATGATGATAGAAAGAGCAAGAACAGCTTGAATTCTTTGTGCAAGGGTTTGAACTTTATTTTTACGATTAGTGAAGGTTTCATGGGGATTCAGTTCAGTAATTAGAAAATGTAAAAGCTTTCATTTTTTTATATGATTAGGTATGATGATGGAGTTAAAATCCATGTTATTTAGAATTTAGTTACCAGATATAATTAAATTATAGAATGCAGCTGATATTTTAAAATTCAGCAGTTTAGAGTGAAAAAAAACCTGGAATCTTGACATCAATGTTACATGGAAATATCTTTTAATGCTAATCAATGAACCAAAGCTTTTGTTCATAAAGGAGATATCCTGGTAAACATATAGAAATATCTCCTAGAGGATATTCTAGAAGAGATATTCTAGTAAGAAAATAATCAAGCTCAGCACCAAGAACCCCTCATTTCAACCCAGACCTACAAATATTCCCCTTTATTGATAATTTACTAAGACATTTTTCAGAAATCTCAGTTTTGAGTGATCACAGAAGATTGAAGAAAGTAGGAAAAATACTACTGTTGTCCTATTTAGAATTTATTTGTGGAATTATTTGTTTAAAATAGGTGTATTCTCTTTTTTTGTTTCTTACAATGAACATTGAATATTGGTTGGATTATTAACAGTCTCTGTTTGTTGCATATCTTTTTCTTTTTTTGTGACAAGGTACATCCTTAAATACATTTTTTGTTTGTTTACTCATTTCTGGATTTTAAGAAGCTTCAATTGGTATAAGCATCTGGCTAATCACTTGGATTAGAAACTAAGCAGGATTGGGTGAATTATCTATTAGGATGAGAATACTGCGTCTATATACTAGATTGGGAAGTCTGGAAAAAATACCAGGAAAAGAAAAAGGACATACTGATGTATGGACAAGGACATACTGATGAACTCACCTCAAGGAAGGTGCAGTTATCTTTACTATGAAGCATTAAGGTTAAATTAATTAAATCCAGATTTCCAATGGTGCTTGAATTAGAAAAGGAGACAGAGAAAGCCTATTCTTCTTTGGATAAAATTGTAATCCATAAATAGATTTTTATTTGTTGACTGTAAAGGATGTCTAGGTCTTAAAATTCTTTATCTTTGAGATACAAGTAAATTCTGATTTCCAGCCAGGACTGAGTTATTTCCTTTTCACTACTGCTTTATGATATATTCTATGAATCAATTGGACCTGAAGAAAAGCATTGCAAGATTTTTTAAATGAGTCATATAACTTGAAATCATTTATTGTAACTGTTGCAAAAATAGTTAATTCAAGAACAATTAAATTATCTGGGATTAAGGGGTTTAGCATACATTGAGGTAAGAATCAGAATTTACATGAAATAAAATTGCAGGGAATTACATAAGCACATTTATATAGATAACATTCTTGCAACAGTTATACATTGATCTACTTAGATCAGAGTAGCAACCCTTTCTCTTGTCTAAAATTATAATCAGGATTGGAAGTAATTTTATAGACCATTTAATCCAATCATCTGCCCCAGATTCCTGAAAGGTAGCCATATAACACCTATCTGAAATGGGAAAGTCTATAATGTTCCTGGCAGATTTACCTGTGTTATTATCAGGAAATTTCTCCTAATATTCAGTCTGAGCCTCACTTTTAATTTCACTCTGTTATCTTTTTGTCCTTATTTTCAACTGAGAATGGAGGTGCCCAATATATATTTAAATATATATTTTATTGCATAAAGCTCATTTTAAGATACAGCAAAAAGAAGCTCATTTCATAGTCTTAAATGACCTTGCACTGATTTATTAAAACAGAGCATTCAAACTCTTCATTTGAAAGATTGTGTAAATGTTATGCCAAGTTGCTATTATAATTTGTTGATTTCAAATTTTGTGATACTTAGAGAAAACCCTTTTTTTTCTTAGAAGTACTAAAGGAACACTACTTCTTCTGTTCCTGGTATTTTTCTGTCTGCTGTTCCCCTATGGCTGTGATGGCGAACCTATGGCACGTGTGCCAGAGATGGCGCGCAGAGCCCTCTCTGCTGGCACGCACGTTGTTGCCCCACGTCAGATCTCCGTGGTGTTTCTTTCATGAGCTTCTGTTTCCATGCAAACAACGAAACAGAAGCTCATGAAAGAAGATCTTACCTGTTGCTGTGCTGCTGGTGTTGGGATGCCCCGCCTCCGACCAGCCAGCTAGTCTTTGGGTCTCTGCTGCACATGCATGCATGTCCGCACATGCACATGTTTGTGCGTGTCTGCACATGCGCACACACACACACACACCTTTCAGTTTGGGCACTTCTAAAAGGTTCGCCATCACTGCCCTATGGCAAAAATGTGGATCGAAACACTTCACAAACATGGTAATTAAACTCATGAAAAAAACGATTAGTGTGAATATATATCTGTGTTGAGCTCTTGGAAATAGATTTGTAATTTGGCAAATGCCTCTTTTCGAGCTCTTCTGGGAATTCATAATCCTACTTAAATCTTCAAATCTGGTTGTAAAATGTATGTAAAAACTGAACTCTTAGATTGTGTCTAGACAAATACTTTTAACTTACAAGCTCCACTTACCATGAAGCTTGTAGTTTTAAAAATAAAACCAGTGCTTTATTTATAAACTGGCTTTTTTCCTCTAAGTAAATATGTGTTGGCTTAGGGAGCCATAGAGCTATATTTAAAGGCTCACAGGAAGAAGCGTTGGTGAAGAAGAAATGGTTTATCTTTTAGCATCGGGTTTTTTTAGGAATATTTTCTAAAAATCATGTTAGATTTCTTTTTAGCCTTTTTAAAAAGATCCCTTTGGCATTTTCTTGAAGAAGCTTTTATCCATAATTGATTTTTTAATGTTATGTTTCAAGAGGCTGATGATTGGATCCTCTGCCTTCTGCTTACTCAGGATATGATTGCTGCTCTTTGAGTGCAGTATTATTAATGGGTTTTAAAGATGAACTCCCAGGACTGCCTTGCTCATGATATGTTCATAGGATTTCATAGAATAGATGTAGGATGTAGAAAACATTTCTGAATGTTTCTTATTAATATATATTGTACTATATTTATATATAAAACTTTTTTCCATCTCCCCTCCACAAATCAATTCTGTTTGGGCGGGGGGGATGGATTAGATGACCTACAAGGTCCCTTCCAACTCTTTGAATCTGTTAATTCAGTTAAGTCAGGTAAATTGGTTCTTTCTAATATTTTGCTATAATTCCCCATAACCAATCCATCAGCACATATGCACAGAGAATGCAGTGAGCACTGAGCTTTTGGGATGAAATTCAGTGGCAAAATCTCAGTTTCCTTGCTATTTATCCTTTTGACTACATCACTTCCAGTTGATAACCACAGTGAATTTCCTACTGGTCCCAAAGGCGTTATACTAGTTAGAGGGTATGAGACCAGCTTCTTAGCATGTATATAGAAATACTATAATGGAAAATTACTGCAAACTCCCCTTTGTATTTTTAAAATGACTTAATTTGCCAAAATCCTGTTGAGATACTTTAGTATACCGCTAAAGCTAAGGACATAGCGATGCACATTCCCCATATCTTTGTATATATTATTTCTTAAATCCTGATTTTGCTGTATTGAATAGCATGAAATGCAATATGATTGTGTATTTATTTCCTCAAATGTGAGTTGAACTCTTACAATTGCAACCTCTGACTTTAGCTGTCATAGATAGGTGCTCAGATGATGATGTAATGCACATGTGCATTTGTATCCCACCAAAATTAAATCTTTTTCAGTAATGCGATAATGTTTTCATATTAGGATCAAAAGTGTAGAATGCCATACTTTTATGACTACATTGACTAAAATTATGAATTATTTTATATGTGCAATGGCTAGGAAAAGAGAAGGCAGAGCCAGGGGATGGAGTTAAGAGAGTAATCAGTCTGCAGTTGTCACATTGCCACAAACAATCCAAATCCAGCCTCTTAAATTTCATTAATTCTTACCTAGTGCCAATTTAGTATTGATCATTAGTTGACTGGATTCCTGTATATACTGTAGGCTTCTTCTGAACTGCTTCTGAGCTTAATGTTTGGACCTGATCCTTTGCACCTGACAGTATCATTATCTAGAGAAGGATTAGCAAACTTTTTTTTTAAAAAAAATAGCGGGCTACATTTTTGGCAAATACATAATTGATAAGATTGAAATGAATAATGGGTGGGTTCAGAGTCCTTTATGAGTGAGGATACTTTTTATTTGACAATCTTTTTTACTTTTTCTATCATCCAGCCTTTTCTTTGCCATTGTTTCTAACAATCTTCTTTCAATCCAGTATAAGATATAGAGGTGGATAGATACCATTTACCAAAGATTAGAAATTATATTCTGCAAAGAACTTCTGAAATTAGACCATGGCCTTAGGGAGCAGACTGTCTGCCCCTGATCTATAGTTTCAAAATACATATGAACTGTAAGTAGAATTTCTTAAAAGTCTGAATATAAATTATAAAGGTGTGCATTGCTTATATATTAACAAAAACATTCCTTATTCATCTTCAGAACATATGAACTAAACTGTTAAATTAATACCATGTACTTTGAAGTTCTGCAGTCTGATAGCTGTAGGCAAAACAAAGAAGGTTATGCATTTGAAGTGGAAAATATGAGGAATCTGGCATGAAGAAAAGCACTGGAATACAATCTACAAATTCTTATATTTTCATCTATTATGATTTTGTTCTTTGGTTTGTAGGAATTTTGTCACTCAAAAATCTAAGCATTTAAGTTCGTAGTGCATATGTCCAATTTTATTAATTTTCTTGAATCATTCCCTTAACATGATGGACTTTTGATGTCAGGTATGAAAGACCAGTTCCACATGTGAAAATCCAATTAAACTGATTTATTGTTAAACAACATATGCACAGGAGTCTTCTCAATTAATGATTAGTGCCTGCTTGTAGTTAGATAAGGTCCACAGAATTCAAGAGGGGCAGGTTCTACTTAGTGTACTTGTGATTATGTAAGAATTCTAGGCAGATCCCGCTTTTAACTCTATTCCCCAGGTTCTGTCACTCCTCTTACATTTGGCTTCAAATCAAAAAGATAAGTTTTAGGCAATAAAAATTAAAAGCTTGCATTTAAATAAGAAAAACAGGTGATTTTGTAACATTGTGTACAGTTCTAAAAATAAATTAAGCATTCACAGATTTGAGCACCCTTGGAGGAGGTATTTGTATGAGGAATTGAAAGATTGAAGATTGTTCAGCCTTAAAAAAAAGCTGAAAGGGAGATATGTTAAGTGTCCTCTAAACATTTTAAAAGCTATCATGTAGATAATGGAGCAAAATCATTTTCTGTTATTTCAAGGCAGGATTAGAATCCCAGAGGGGAAACTGTAAAAGAAAGAGATTTTGGTGAAACATTAAGGGAAATGTCTTAAAGGTCAGAACAAGTGTCAGTGAAACAGACTATTATTCTGGATGATGGGTTTTTGCTGTCTAGCAGTCCTAAGCAGATGTTGAGCAGGAAACAGGAACGAATAAAAAAGATTCCTTTTTACTATTTGTTATTTTATAAAGTTATACTGTGTACTTACATTTCTGATAGAAAGCCAGAAAATACTCCTGTGATTAAAGGATGGCAAATTGTGACTGATACACTGGTATGGGCTTTCACAGGCAACATTTGTTGGGCTTCAGGGTTTAGTGAATGTGCTGGTCTAGACAACAGATTTGCTGATATTTTGTTGACAGCTGTGGCTGGCATCTTCAAAAGCAAAGGAGGACCATCTCTGCTCAGTGGACATGGTGTGTGTAAGAGATAACCTACCTTGCCTCTGAAGATCCTCAGCTGTAGTTGCCAGTAAAATGTCAGGAAATCTATTGTTCAGACCATACTCAATTCTGCAGGCTAACACTGCACAAAAATGGTGGCTGTTTCTTTCAATTTGGATTTAAAAATTTGATGCTCACATTAAATTTCCAATGATTAACTAATTGGTAATCTATATGTTGTCCTTCCTTTCTCAGAATAATATTAGTCCATCAATAACTGAGAGGACTTTTGTTTTATGCTTGTATTTCTTAATATGTTTCATTTCTGTCTGTTATTTGTGCTGCCTTGACAGAACAGAGATTAATGCTCCATAGAAATGCCACCCCAAACCCTCCTGATAGTCAGATTGCTTTAAGATATTTTTGTACTCTTAAAATAAAGCTTTTAAAAGTGATTTAAAGCATTTTCAGCTTTAATATGACTGCAGATCAGGCAATAACCACATCAAGCAATGCATGGGAAGGTTAGCGGAGAGAGTAGAATGTGTGCCCATTTCCCTTGTTTCAATTTCACTCATATTCAGTGACCCACTTGTACAAGGTCTATGTTTCCTGTTCTGAACTAAATTGTTTTTCATTTCTTTGAAAAAAGCATTATTTACAGTCTTGCATAAGGAATTGTTAGAATAAATATCATAATTTTATATGTACTGTATTTGTTTTAATTAAATTGCCATAACACATACCATTGAGTGGTACTATATGCTACTCAAAGTCTGTCATTATTGGAGAAGTCTATCAGCCTAGTTAGTAAGGGGGCGGGGAGAGGGGAAGTAAGAAATTAAGCAATTTGGTCACAATCCCCTAATCATGAACCTATAGTAGGTGAACCATATTTCTAGCCAGAAAGTTTTATGCAAATTTAATCCAGTTAGTTTCAGTGAATTGGATAAATTCTTGACATGTACACAGAACTTATTTTAGTTCTGATGGACTTTTCATCACTGTATACTTTCATCCACATAGTATAGCATAGCAGTACTATACAATATTAAGTAGTACTCACGACATTAACTTTCATCTAATCTGATTGCCAGAGGCTCTTTGAGAACTCAAGATAGAGGCACTTTCTATCATCCTTTAAATTAGCAATATTACCAGTTGCATATGGAACATTCTGCCAGGCATGTGCTTAGCAGCTGCTGGATCCCAAGTCTCTCCCAAATGGTGTTGAAAATTAAGAAGCATAAAAATGTTAATTGTTAGTTGAATTTGTCATTATGCGGATATACTTTGGAATTGTGGAAAAAAAGGATTTTTGTATAGTTTCCTATAGCAGGATTATGCAGATTTTATCATTAGTGTTTCTGCCAGGCTTGTGAAGAATATTGTAACTTGTATAGGAAAATTGTTCTAGTCTGTTAGATGCAACACTATGTGAGTATTGCATTCTAATGCACTTTGATTTTTTAAAAATAAATCATACATTTATAGTATGACAGACTGCTTGATTGAAGCAGATATCTTAGCAGCTGCCTGCAATGAAGTTGTTGCTGATATCAGTGCTATGGGGGAAAATCCATATGTCACTCTTATTAAAGTTGGAAGAATTCAGATGTATAAATGCTTAAGAGTAATATTACAAGTTAATATGTGTATCTAAACATTCCAGAATAATGTTAATCTAGTTAGTTACTCTAGGTAATGCTACAATAAGTCTATTTTAGTGCAAATGATTTGAGGACTATATAATAAATATATTGCTGCAAGTTTTGCTATGGGACTATTCCACTGTGTATTGAGTAAAATCACCTTGTAAGACAAAGTTTTAGTTTTGAATATGATTTATACTTGCCTGTAACTGAGCAGAGGTGTATGCATATAAAGTTAGTTTTATGTTTTATTTTATAAAATATAATGCAGATGTAATCCAGTACAGTATTTAATGAATGCTTGCTGTTTGTTACTCTTATTTTTAAATTTTGCATCAAAGCACTATGCTTATTAAAGACAGAAAACTCCAGTAATATTTGGAACGTATTTATATTTAGAGGGGAACAGAAAATAGTTTTTTGATAAGGCCAAAACTCCTCCAGAATGAGCTAAATCAATGCATTTTGGAGTGGAGACATTCATGAAAAATTTCAGTAGGTTCAGAGATAATATGACCAGAATTTGCTTAGTATTTGTAGTGATTGCAGTTTCTTCATTTTATAAACTGTGTCTGATCTTAACAATATATTTTAAAAGAAAATATATTGTGTTTTAGTAATATTTGAAGCAAGCTGTATTGAATTATGAATATGCTTTCTGTGATTTCCTTAAAGGTAAAGGTGATGGAAGAGACAATGGCACTGGTGAAATTCAGTGATCTACTTATCTTTTTGCTAGCTCATCCTTAAAACCTACTGTATTTTTCGGAGTATTTCCCCCCCCCCCAAAAGAGGGTGAAAATTTGGGTGCGTCTTATACACTGAATGTAGCCCCGCCTACCTGCTGGCCCCCACCCTTTGGCCTCTGCCTCCCAGCAATTTACCTTCTTGCAGCAAACAGCAAACAGCCCGTTTCATCTTCAGTACATCCTGATTAGCACAAGCAGTTGATTGCCGGTTGGATCAGCCTCCCGACCCCCAGCTGTTTCAGGCTGCAGGGATTGCCATTGCCTATAGCCATGCAGGCCTCCGCTGTTTGTTGCAAGGAGGCAAATTGCTGGGAGGCAGATTTTTTTTCTTGTGCTAATCAGGCTGTGCTGAAAATGAAAATGAAACTAAAGCAGGCTGTTTGCTGTTCGCTGCGAGGCAAATTGCTGGGAGGCAGAGGCAGACTTTTTTTCTTGTTTTTCTCTCCAAAAAAGGTAGGTGCGTCTTATAGTTTGGAGTGTCTTATACTCCAAAAAATACAGTATTTTTAAGGAAGTCTATACATCTGGAACATTAACGGGTGGCTCTAGATCAGGCGTGTCAAACTGGTGACGTGGGGACTGGATACCCCAACCACGCCCACCCTGGCTCCTCAAAGGCAAAAAATCTATCCCGATACATCACAATATGGCCTGTGATCAGGTTTGACACTCCTGCTACTAGACTAAATTCCCACTTTGCAAGTAGCTTTCTATTGATGTAATGTTATCTCTGATCATTCGTTTTCATTATGAAGAAATCACCAAAGCATTTTGATTCATCCATTTTTTCATCAGTTATTACAGCAGCTATTTGTTACTTTACAGATACATTGCAAATAGTTTCTTATATGAGAACTATAATATGAACCCCAATTTTTATCAGCTATATGTAAAATAATCAAAAACCCAATCACAGCTATTTCAGTTACTTTTTGTGTAACATATTGCTTTTTTGTTTCTTAGATCGAGTTCAGTTACCTAGAAATATGATTGAAAACAGCATGTTTGAGGAAGAGCCTGATGTGGTTGACTTGGCTAAAGAGCCTAGCTTGCATCCTTTGGAGCCCGATGAGGTAGAATATGAACCAAGAAGTTCTCGTCTTCTTGTACGTGGTCTTGGAGATCATGAAATGGATGAGGATGAAGAGGATTATGAATCATCATCAGCCAAACTTCTGGGAATGTCTTTCATGAATAGAAGTAGTGGTCTGCGAAGTAATATGGCTGGTTATAGGCAACGTTCAGATGGATCGTGTTCTGCTCCATCCGTAAGGACCACAATAATCTGTGCAGTTGTTCTTGTGATTGCTGTCTCCGTAATAATGGCGATCTATCTTCTCCCCAAGTGCACTTTTACCAAAGAAGGCTGTCACAGCAAAAACCACACAATGGAAGATACATATCATTTGGCAACTAATGGAAAACCGTTTCCATGGGCTCATTTTAGGCTTCCAGAATTTGTTGTTCCAACACATTATGATATTGTTCTGCAGCCAAATCTAACCACAATGAGATTTACAGGTTCTGTTCAAATAACTGTGGAAGTTATCCAGGTTACTATGCATGTTATACTTCATAGTTCAAAGCTCAATATTACCAAGGTAACATTTGTTTCACTCGGTTCAAGCCAGCCAAAACCAGCTGATTTCCTGGAATACCCAATGAATGACCAGATTGCAATTATAGCTCCAGAAGCTCTTCTTGTAGGACATAAATATAAGATCAGCATAGAGTATTCCTCTAATTTATCAGACACTTACTCTGGCTTTTACAAAATTGCCTTTAAGAATAACAACTCAACAAGGTAAGCTTAGAACTAATTTATTTTTATCTTAACTGGGAAAAAATTATATGCATCTACTTTTGGCTTGAATTGCTATTTTTTTTTATCTCCACCCTTGGCATACCACCTAACAACCAACAGAAGGACACAGCTGGAAAAAGGCTGCATATGTCTGTGCACTGTAACCTCATTTTCTTCCTGTTGATTTATTCTCCAGTGTACTGCCTTGAGAATATCTGTCTTCTTGATTAACACATAAAATAGCTAAAATAATTATACCCATCTTTATAGATTAGTTTTAATATTATCTATATTGCTGAATATTATGGAATCCTATTGTAGAAATAAAGCACTTTTGCTTATTTAGAAGCAGAACATCTTCCTGGCATGCAAAAAAAAAATCCCTGATTTAAATTTTCATGGAAGCTTCTTGCTGTAAATCCAGAAAGACTGCTGCCAATCAGTACTAATAGTATTGTACTAAATTGGACCAAGCAGAGCATGTTTATGGCTGGATCTTATGGCCAAGTAATATTAGGCCATTGAGCTGGATGATATTGGCAAAGTGTGACAGTCTGATGAATAATAAAGTGAAGCGCAGATAAAATGTAATTTACTGAATGAGGGGTTAAATGCTTCATTTTTCTTCACCAATCTATTTGGCATTCATCTGATTGAGAGAAAGTGAATCCCCTTACTCGCTGGCTAGTATTGGCATATAGCAGTTTGACAAATGGAGAAATGCCTCCCATCTAGCTTGTGCTTTACTTTGATAGGAATTCTGTACATTATGTCTGCACTATTTATGAACACCAGCCAGACTGAAAAGGGGTGCATATGTACATAGTGTCATGTATGGAATGGTAAATTTTGAACAAAATGGATTTAATAACTTTAGTACCTGTAGTAATAAATGAACCTGGTCTAGTTTTCAGGTAATTATATACAAAAATATCTGAATAATAATGAAGGATTTTTTTGTTAATATAAAATTTATTTTGTTGAACACATGTATTGCCTTGTAAAATTTCAGGAACTAAGAATAAATACTTTTTTTCCTTGTTGTAGTTATTATACAGAAAATTTAATTTTGAAATGTGGCTATATATGTAATTGTTACTGTTAGTATGGCTAATATCAAATGCAATTTGCTGACCTTAATTGTTAGGGAAATCCAATGCATAAGATCGACTAAGGTAAAAGATTACAATGTTTACATGTTACAAAGATTTCTTGGGAAGATACTTTTAAATTTAAATGTAAATTTCTTGAATGAAGTGTTATGAAGACCACATATTTGTAACAATTCCCAGGATGCTATATAATCATAAAGATTTGGTATCTTGGAAATCTGTTAGGTGCTTTCAAGATTCTAGATGGGGTAGCATTTTACTTTTTTTAAACAATTAAAGTAACATGGTTAGGATTATATTTTTCCTCTCCAAATTTTATTTCTAAATTATGTAACATATAGAAATTTAAAAGAAATATAGATTTGAATGTTTTTCTTTTTATCAGTTGGCTTGCAGCAACTCAGTTTGAGCCCTTATCAGCAAGAGCAGCATTCCCTTGTTTTGATGAACCAGCATTCAAAGCCAGTTTTCAAGTCAAAATCAACAGAGAAGATCAACACATTGCTCTGTCAAATATGCCAAAGGTATATAATAGCTATCCATACCTTTTTGTGGTTTGATATTTATACAGTTACATGCTCATGAAGTGTGCTACAGGACAGGAAAATTGAATTACTTGGTAAAGAACTTTATTTTATGAATGTATGTGGCTATTAGTTATACTTAATTTCCACAATAAAAAAGGTAAATGTAGCTTTAGAAGATAAGAAAAACTAAAAGATTGATTTAGTCTACTTTCTACTTTCCCTCGGAGGATAGCTAGATTGCACTGGGAGTCCCACACATAGGATATGAAGGCAGTATGTGACTATGCATTTCAATGGCCTAGAAAAAAAGATAATATGATGCAGAGATATTCTGCTAAATGGAAGGACATGGTAACATTCCCCCCACTCCAGAAAAAAAAGTGGCTGACAGACCTGCAAAATTAGATTTCAGGATTAGAAGGAAGATGGGTGCTCAATAAAAGGGTGAGTTTTGAATATTGTGATCTTTTTTCCAAACCTGATATCTGTGTAGTTGAGCCATATTGGTCCCACTAAGCTAAAAGAACAAAGAAAAAGGTTGGATGCTGGTGGTCAGCTATTGAAGAGTGAAATGTGAGAGCAAACAGAAGAAAGAGAAAGTGGCTGAGAAAATGATTCAAGTGTTGCTGTTATTAGAGTTTTAATGTTGCTGAATAAGAGTCAGTTGAATTGGTAGGACAAGATTTTAGAAAAAATGAAGGCATGATAAAATTGATTGAAATAGGATTGGGACCAGACAGAAGATTGAGAGCACTGTAATAGTGGCAAGTTGATTATAAAATGAAAGAAAAAGCAAGAAGATGGGAAGAGAGATAAGAACAGGATTCACTAAAATTCATGCCAATGTGGTTCAGAAGTAGCTTTTCAGTCTGGATGGAGAAAAAGTAGCTGGGGAAAGAATAGCTGAGGAATCTTTTCATTAAAAGGCCCCTCCTAAAGAAGCCTTCCCTGGATCCAGGAGAATTAAAGAACTTTTGTCCAGTCTCCAACCTACCCTTTGTGGGAAAGGTTGTAGAGAAAGTGGTGGCACTTCAGCTTCTGCAGTCATTGGATGAAACGGATTATCTGGACCCTTTTCAGTCTGGCTTCAGGCCTGGCTACAGCACAGAAACTGCTTTGGTCACACTGATGGATGATCTCTGGCGAGCCCGAGATGGTGGTCATTCCTCCATCTTGGTGCTACTTGACCTCTCAGTGGCTTTCGATACCATTGACCATGGAATCCTTCTGGGACGACTAAGGGAGTTGGGAGTGGGAGGCACCGTGTTACCGTGGTTCTCCTATCTCTCTGGTCGGTCACAGTCAGTGTTTGTAGGAGGACAGAGGTCGACCCCTAGGCCCCTCGTTTGCGGGGTGCCTCAGGGCTCGGTCCTCTCTCCCCTCCTATTTTAACATCTACATGAAGCCGCTGGGTGAGATCATCTGACGGTAAGCGGTGAGATATCAGCAATATGCTGATGATACCCAGCTGTATATCTCTACCCCGTGTCAATTCAGTGATCCAGTGGATGTGATGTGCCGGTGCCTGGAGGTTGTGAGGGTCTGGATGGGAGTCAACAGGCTCAGACTTAACCCAGACAAGACAGAGTGGCTGTGGGTATTGCCTCCTAAAGACTATGTTGATTGTCCATCCTTGGTTCGGGGGGGGGAGAAATTGTCCCCCTCAGAACGGGCTCACAATTTAGGTGTCCTCCTACACTCACAGCTAAGATTAGAGCAACATCTGACAGTTGTGGCTAGGGAGACCTTTGCACAGGTTCGCCTGGTGCACCAATTGCGACCCTACTTGGATTGGGAGGCTCTCCTCACAGTCACTCATGCCCTTGTCACCTCATGGTTAGATTATTGCAATGTGCTGTACATGGGGCTACCCTTGAAAAGTGTTTGGAGACTACAGTTGGTCCAGAATGCAGCTGTGCGAGCTATTGTGGGTGCGCCTAGATACACCCACATTACACCAATTCTCCACGAGCTGCACTGGCTCCCTATTGGTCTCCGGGCACAATTCAAGGTGTTGGTTATTACCTTTAAAGCCATACATGGCTCAGGGCCAGGTTATCTTCGAGACCGCCTTCTACCACATAGCTCCCAGCGACCGGTAAGATCCCACAGAGTTGGTCTCCTCCGGGTCCCGTAAGCTAAACAATGCCGGCTGGCGGGCCCGCGGGGGAGGGCCTTCTCTGTGGCTGCCCCAGCTCTCTGGAACCAGGTACCTCCTGAGGTCCGGACCACTCCCACTCTATTGGCCTTCCGAAAAGCGGTGAAGACCTGGCTATTCCGGCAGGCTGGGACCGTTGATCTCACTGTTGCGATCGTGTGAGATCCGGCCATGAATGGTGTGAATGGGTTTTGATGTTTTAATTTTTAAATGTTTTTATAATGGTTTTTAAAATGTACTGTAAGCCGCCCTGAGTCTTCGGAGAAAAGCGGCATATAAATTGAATTGATTAAATTAATTAAATTAAATTAACAACATCTGGCCTAGGCCACGGAGAAGGCTGCAGGAAGAATGAGTGTTTAGCTGGTTGAAAGGCCAGACTACTGATTGCCTGTAATAAGTGAGATCAGTTGGTGGTGCTAAGAGATGTAGACCATAGCCATAGATCCTGCCTTGAGTAACTTAGACACCAGGAACATAAAACAGGTTGTCAATGAGGCACAGTCATTAGTGCCACAAATGATTGGGCGGTTTAATTTTATGTCTTATTCAAAAAAAGAGACACCTCTGGAGGGGAGAAGGTGAGATTCCTACTTTCATCAGTTCAGTAGGAGTGAGAAGGAATCAACAGGAAAGTTTGAGTATAGAAGAGGTTGATAGGAAAGTGAAAAAAATGTAATGTGAATTTGTACAGGTACAGATTAGATGAAATCTGACTCAATAGCAATAACTGAGAGAGATCTTTGCATTTTAGTGGACAATCACTTAAATTTGAGCCAGCAGTGTGCTGCAGCTGCCAAAAAAGCCAATGCAATCCTAGGCTGCATTAAAACAGAGGGATAGAATCAAGATCACATGAAGTGTGCCTTAATAAGACTGCACTTGGATTACTGCATCAGTTTGGTCGCCACAAAGTAAAAAAGATGTTGAGACTCTGGAAAGAGTGCAGAGAAGAGCAACAAGGATGAATAGTGGGATGGAGGCTAAAACATGAAAAATAGTTGCAGGAATTCGGTATGTCTAGTCTAGTGAAAAGAAGGAGTAGGGATGACATGATAACAGTGTTCCAATATTTGAGGGGCTGCCACAAAGAAGAGGGGTCAGCCTATTTTCTGAAGTACCAGAAGGAAGACAAGAAGGAATGGATGGAAACTAATCAAGGAGAGAGGCAATCTCTGGGTGCTTCATCATGGAGGCTTTTAGAAAGAGATTGGACAGCCATTTGTCTGAAATGGAATAGGGTCTGCTGCTTGAGCAGGATTTGGACAAGAAGATCTCCAAGGTCCCTTCCAACTCTTTTTTTCTCATTTGCTGGTTGAGGCCACAGTATCATCACTATATGTTATATATCTCCACCCTGAACCAAGCAATAATGCAGTACGACTCGGCCTAGTGCTTGGAAGGCTATAGTGATTTGTCTAATGTGTGTGTATGTGTGTGTGTGGAGGGGGAGGGTGGACTTTGAACTAAACTGAATCCCATCATGGTTTGATTAATAGTTGTCGAGACTTAAAAAGCCTTACATGGCTTGGAACCTGGCCTCTAAAAGGAGCAGTTTCTTCAAGTGGATCTTACGCATACAGTACACATGTTGCAATTTGAGATGGAGAGTTCTTCCTCCCCCTTATGGGATCAAAGGGGAAACAAGGACATTTTGTTTCTCAGCTTTGGCACATATGTAGTAGCCTTTCATTAGAAATCTGGGTGACTCCTTCACTTCTGACATCTAGAGAAATGTTAGAAACTGAAATGTTCAGAAGAACATTTAATTATGATATATCTCTGGAATGATATTATTAATTTTATTTTAGTAATTTATAAAATACTTCGATAATTGCAGATTCTTAGTGTTTGCATTACTTAAATTTGATTTTTATTGTACACCATCATGAATCATTGTAGAGTGTACCACTAGAAATCTAATCGATTATATATGATTATTGGATTTATGCAGTGGTGAAATCTAAAATTTGTTACTACCAGTTCTGTGGGCGTGGCTTGGTGGTGGGGGGTAATGTGACTGGGTGGGCGTGGCCAACTTTTTTTACTTTTAAAACCATTTTTTCTACAACCTCTTCGGCCGAAGAGGTTGTAAAAAATGCTTTTAAAAGCCTGTGACGATCCCAACTGAGTTGCTTGATCGGCAGAGGCTTTTTTTTCTTTTAAAAGCCTCTGACAATCCCATCTGACTTGCCTGATCGGCAGAGGCTTTTTTTCTTTTAAAAGCCTCTGACGATCCCAGCTGATTTGCCTGACGTCAGAGGCTTTTTTTTCTTTTAAAAACATTTTTTCTACCACTTCGGCTGAAGAGGTTGTAGAAAAAATGCTTTTAAAAGCCTCTGATGATCCCAGCGAGCCGCGCGATCATCAGGGGCTTTTTTTTTTACTTTTGAAAGCATTTTTTCGGCCGAAGAGGTTGTAGAAAAAATGCTTTTAAAAATAATTTTTAAAAAGCCTCTGATGATCATGCGGCTCAGCTGGGCATGGGGGAGGGCAGGGATTTTTGCTACCGGTTCTCCAAACCACCTGCCTCCATCGCTACTGGATCGGGTGATCCGGTCCGAACCGGGAGCATTTCACCCCTGGATTTATGGTATTTCTGATGATAGCCTGAAATATGAAAATGCAGTACTAGCTGATTAGTAGCTGATTAGCAGTGGGATTCTCTTCGGAAATTTTATAATGCAACTATTTGGCACCCTAACAAATGTTCTCTAGAGTGTCTTTTTAACTTTGCCATCATGCAGCATCATTTTGTGCATAATATGCCCTACTATGGGCTACCCTGAACTTTTCAAGTGAAATTGAAATAAAAGCAAAAATGGGAAGACTGATAGTTAATTCTTCATTAAATTGCTTGCACAATTTGCTTTCATGCTCTGAGTTCCTGTTTTTCAGTGATGGTTTGCAAATTTGGCATCATTGTTGCTCTTAATAAACTCTATATTAAATTAATATAATGTACTGTAAGAGCAGTCTTTTGAAGGAACCCTAGTCAGGCTGAGATCATATCATGAAGTAAATTGTGTTTGTGTAAAAGCATCATGCAATCAAAAGAGCCTTGGTAGTACAGTGGTCTAAGGCACCCTGTTATTAAGCTGGTTATTAAGACCAGCTGCCTGCAATTACTGCAGGTTCGAATCTCGCCAAGGCTCAAGGTTGACTCAGCCTTCTATCCTTTCTAAGGTAGGTAAATTGAGGACCCAGTTGTGGGGGCAATAAGCTGACTTTGTATAAATATACAAAAGGATGAAGGCTATTGCTGAGCACATTGTAAGCCGCCCTGAGTCTCCGGAGAAGGGCGGCATATAAATCAAATTTAAAAAAAAAAAAAAAGATAAGTTGAGTATTAGCAGTGATTCCTGCTAATACTCTGGATGAATATTTCTTTTTCAGTTAACACATTCATGAAGCATATCATATACAGAACAAATATCTTTATAAAATCAGTGCTTATTATTTTTGGTTCAATTCTGGCAGATGAACTTGCTCAGTACTGATCTGATTTTTACTTCTTAGACTTATTGATATAATTTTAATTTGCTAACTGTTGGGTATTGCAATCATAGGAAATAACAATGTTCTGTACATTATGTTTTGCGTATTAGCCATTTTCCAAGTATATCTCAACATAGAACAGATGGCTTCTATGATTTATGTTCCAGGACCTGCAGCTTCTGTTTACATAATTGAATTCTGATCTCCGGTTTGTATTTCCAGAAATCAACCAATCACTTGGCAAATGGATTATTTCAAGATGAATTCTTCGTTAGCTTGAAAATGAGCACTTACCTAGTAGCTGTCATTGTTGGAAACTTCAAATGTACCAATAAGAAAACAAATGGGATTGTGGTAGGTGGACTTTTTTTGCTCCTGTAACCCCTCCCCAAAAAAACCCCCTCGTTTCCCAGTGTATTATGTTACACTTCTTAAATTTGAAGTACTGAAAGTAGATTATAGGTTTTTTTTGACCTGACAGTTGGCTTGGTAGTTGCTTTGTTTTTGATCATATCAAATTATTACAACATTCAATAGGCTATGTTAATCTATTTGCTTATTTGTCAGGCCTAGAGGAGAAATGTTAGGAATCATCTTGAAGAAAGATTCATTTGCTGGCCTAAATATGAAGAGACAGAGTAGTGTAAAGCTTTTCTTTAGTTCTTATTTTACCCACTACTTTGTTTTATTTCCACCTAATGAGATCTATTTTTATCTCAGTCACACCTGTTAATGCTGGTTTTAAAACAATAGGGGTGTTTTTAAAACAATAGGGATGTTTTAAATTGTTTGGGCTAAATTACTTAATGTACTTTTACATTGTTTTTAAATTTTGTATTATGTGTGTTTTATCTTTTGGCTGTTCACCGCCCTGAATCCTTCGGGAGTAGGGTGGTATATAAATTCAAAATAAAGTAAAGTAAAAAAGTAAAGGGAAGGGGAGAAATACAAACTTCTGATCCAGACCTGAACTGTGAACATGTATATATTAACATAATAGAAATGGCTCCTCTGCTATTAGGATATAAGTCTTTAGAAATGAAAAAACAAGGAAAACATTTTGCCTTTTGTTTTATAATATGCTATACAAATGGATCTAAGACAATCTTAGCCTTTTTTTAAAATCATAAATAATGAAACTTGATTATCCATGTACTATCTTATTAATGTTACCTTATCAACTATTATAGAAAATCTTTGGCTCTTTTTATTAAGTAATGTAGACAATGAAAAACTGAATTCCATTGAAACTTCCCTCTGATTCATTCTCTCTTTCCCATTGTGCCAGGTATCTGTTTATGCTGTACCACAAAAGCTTGGGCAGACTGAATATGCCTTGAACACCGCAGTGAAGCTTCTTGAATTTTACCAGAATTATTTTAACATAACATACCCATTTAACAAAATAGGTGAGAGTTTGTTTATTCTTATCAGATTCAACTTTGTATGCTTCCCTTATAAAAATATTTTTAAAGGCAGGGGCAAGTTGAATATACTGTGGAATTTTTAGACACGTCGTTTAGTAATCCAAGGAAAAATAAATTAAAACATAAATTTCAATCTGGAGGCAATAAAGCTCTGATTAATTTTGTAAAAAGATTTAAAATGCTGGTATGCAAAGTTTCCAAATGATGTCAGACTTCTATTACTACATAAGCTATGATGTGCTCTCCTATTGTCTTTTTTTTTTTTTTTAAAAGCAAAGATATTTGGAAATAATAATCAAGTCAAATCAGTTAAAATAATTAATAAACTAAAGAAGTAGTTGCACCCAGTTGAAAATTATGTGGGAAACAATTTTATCTTTCTGCATAAAGAAATAAAGGTTAATTCTTCTTTCTGTGCTCTGAATCATGTGAATCTTCTAAATACTTTCAAATGTCAGTCCCGCATATGATATATTTATGGATGTATTGATTTTGTGCACTTATAAACCATTTCAAATGCCAAAGCATCTTAAGGCAATTTATAATAAATGATAAAACAATAATATCAAAACAACATTCCATAAAATATCTTCATTAAAGGGGTAGAAGAGAAGATAACAAAACAAAACAAAATAGTATTCCAACATTCAAAATAGGATGTCCTGGAAAAAGAGTAAGTTTTTATCAGGTGGCTAAAGATTTTATAGCATTTTTTTTCCTTTTGCCCCTTTGAGTTAGTGCTGATTTCTGGTAACTGACTGGATTAGTCCCTACAGTTTTCTTAGCAATGTTTTTATCAGTATGTTTGTCATTGCCTTCTTCTTAGGTCTGTGAGTTACTGGTCTAAAATTACCAGTTGGCTTTGTGCCCAAGACAGGAATAGCATTTCACAGTCTCCCAGTTTCTAGCTTGGTGCCTTAACAATGTCACCAAACTGACTGTTACAGGAATTGCCTAAATTTCAAAGGGAGAAAACATTCCAGAATATGGGTACCAACACAAAAGCCACATATGAGCACCTGCCAAATGGCACTCAGCAGCTCTCAATACATGTAGTGGTATCTCCCAGTGATTTCAGTAACCAATTCAGTTCAATAACACAATGAGGTGATTGTTTATCTAAAAGTTATAATAGCATTGATTCAGGCAGACAGCAGTAGTATAACTTGCACAACACTTTTTTGGGGGTGGTGAGGAGCAGCTTGTGTCTAATGCCAAGTATACACATAGTTAAAGAGAATGTCTAAAGAGCACAGCTGATTTATATCTAATCTCAATAAAACTAACCAGAATTAATGGCAGTAAATAGAAGTCTAGGTATAACAAGAGTAATTGAGAAGGGAACAAGTCCAGCAGAAAAACAAGTGCTGTCTTGGTTTTTATTTTCCTTTTTCTGACTGGGTTATTACTGATATTACTCTTAACAACTCTTCAACTCTTTGTTTAACCCTGAGGTAGTTAAGGCTGCCAATAGTTTTTATTTGTTAGGAAACAAAAGAGGAGACTGCTGTTGCTTTCATTTCACCTGGCTGTAGGCATCTCATAAATTGGCCATTTGGGGAATTGAATACTGAGATTAAATAAAATTTCAGTTTGATCTCATTTTAATGAAATTTCTTTATCATACATTCTTAAGAGGGCATATTCTCAGGAAACAAATAGGCCTTTTAGAAGTCAGCTAATATTAGGGTGGGAAATATAGTGATGAGATATAATAACAGTCAGCAAAAGTATTAAATAAAGTAGTAAGCAAAAAAGTAAAAAATAAATAAAAAAGTAGTAAATTTAAAAAAGGGTCTTGTCTGTACCCCTCAGTGTGACTGTGGTGCTCCTTGACAAAATATCCACCACATTGTGTCCGAATGTCCATCAAGAGCTTACACTGGCCCATTGTCTGATTTTTTTCAACATAGACCACCCTGTCCTTGAATGGCTGGGTGGACTGGACATTAACGTTTGATCTGCTAAAAGTCCATATATTTGCCATATGCTAAATAAATAAGTAGTAAATAGGCAAAATAAATTATTACATAAAATTGTATGTTTTTAAATATTATATGATAGAAAGTTATATCCATTTATAAAATTAAATACAATTGAGTTATTATATTTTACTTTCTGGTATGTATATACACACTAGGTAAATGTACATAATAATGTAATACTGTAACAGAGCTTTTAATGAATGGGAGTGCAATAGGCAAAATGTGTAATATTTACTTCTTTATTTTATTAAATTTGACTGTTATATTGCATTATTGTATGATTATAATAGTGAATGCTCAAAATTGAGCATTTTGAGAAGACACATTTATGTGCCTGCACATGTTTAAGAATTTTTTTAAAAAAATAGTTTATAAAAGAGGTAGGATAGATTAAATATTTAGACAAATTGATCATATGTTGTTTAAAAGTGACAAGAAGTTCAGCAGGGACAGTAGATATGTTCATGAAATTAGATATTTTATTTATTTATATCCCACGTTTATTATTTTTATAAACACCTCAAAATGGGGAATACACATAATACTCCTTCCTCCTATTTTCCCCATAACAACAACACTGTATGATGGGTTGGGCTAAAAGAGAGTGACTGGCTCAAAGTCACCCACCTGGTTGATATACAGTATATATTGATATCATAAATATTAGTATATTTGATTGAAAGATTCAATCGTCTTAGTAAGTAGTGAATGCTGCTAGTGTATTTAAAATAATTTTTCCTTCTTTCTCCAGATCTAGTAGCTCTTCCAGATTTTCAGGCTGCAGGTATGGAAAATTGGGGTTTGATCACTTTTCGAGAGACAGCACTCCTTTATGATAACAATACCTCTTCAGCAATTGATAAAAAGAGAGTGACAGCAGTTATTGCTCATGAGCTAGCCCACCAGGTATGGAATATACTGTTCTTTGTACTATAGATAGTTTTTTTTTAAATAATTGAAATTCCAAAACTGGTAGTCTACAAGGAAGCTTAGCTTTTGCAATTTTTATTCCATTATTCTAATAAGCTATTCTGCCACTAACACATTTAAATGGGGTTTCTTTATTTTTTCAATGCAATACCATTTCTACCAAGAATACATGGCATACAATATGGGAGCAGTAGAATTGAGAATCCTGGAATTACCTTATTTTAGTCTTCCTCCTTTCTTACTTGTTATATAGTCAAAATATATGAAAGTCTTAAAGAAAGAGAAGTTTAAAAATTGCATACTAATTTGTGCGCAAAAAAAAAAAAACACAAGAAGGAATCACAGGCAATAATAAATTGGAAATACATGTGAGCTACCAGTATGAACAGGCTGTAGCTCTCAAGTTAGATAGTTAATGTGGCTTTTCCTGTATATATTGATATAGTATTCTAATCCTCTGCAACCAGTATTGTGATATAGCTAGAACAATTTGCAGCACTGTGTCCTGCAAGTAAGATGTTTCTGAATATTTTGCTTAATTTAACATTAACACACCATAAGCTATCAGCACAGGCACTTGTTAAAAATCATATAGTCAATTATGTGGCTTTTTTTTAGCTGAAGAAGTCTATATAGCCCCAGTAGAAGCTTTTTGTTCTATTTCCTGTTGTAATGATTAATGTTATTTTGTGAAGCGGATACACTGGTTTTTGAGAATGTTTCCTTTTTGGTTTTTAAGATAGCAATATGGTAGCCAACTGGATATCTTGAGCTGAACTCTTGGTATCTCTGGGTAGAACCAATAGGCTGGAATAGATCTGGAAGTCCTTGTATATAGCTCAGCCTAGTGGTCCTTCTTTTGACACAAAATGTAACAATAGAGTTACAATATGTGCTTTATGTTTGCAGTGGTTTGGTAATCTGGTAACAATGGAGTGGTGGAATGACCTGTGGCTGAATGAAGGATTTGCTACTTTTATGGAAAATCTTGCCATGAAGATAGTCTTTCCAGATTTGTATACTGTAAGTGCATGGATAATTGGTGGGTTTGCATATTTCTCATGTATTATTGTATGGGTCTAAAATCTTTTGACTTGATCCGTCTTCCTATTTAGTCTCAAAAGCTAGAACTGATTATTATTTAGAAGGCAAGTTATAAATATAGCAATAAAATAAGAACAAGAAACTTTGTGATAAGTACAATAATTTGCAAAAAAAATTCTCACAGGACCTACCAGATAATTAGAAAAAAAATTCTTCTGATCTTTATTTAGCAGTGAAATTTATGATGTTAGTTAATGTTCATTTTAACTTAAATGCCTTTCAATTCCTCAGGATGACATTTTTTTAAATCTGCAATTTAAGACCATGGAGAAAGATTCCATGAATTCATCTCACCCAGTTTCCCTTCCTGTCAACTCATCAGAAGAGATTGAACAAATGTTTGATGTAGTCTCCTACATCAAGGTAACTTCAAATATCCTGTAAATGTGGTTTTAATAAAACTAAATGCATTTGCAAAGTTGACACCGATCTATTTCAAATCACATTCTTAGTATGGGCAACAAAAGGTCAGTAGTTGAGGGGAAAAATATTTCAAAAATGAATTACCAGTAGGGAGGTGTTAAGAGAAGAATAGAATGGAAAATATACGCCCTATTGGGAACTATTTTTAATCTGATTTGTTTTAGCAGATAAATGCTTGGTTTTAGAAATATCTCTTTAAAAATGAAGAGTGAGAAAGAATAATTCCATTCTCTTTTCACTGATGGTATCCTAAATAATTCCTAATTCCAGTGCTTTTTGACTGCTTTTGGATATAACATCAAATCAGGGATGGGAAATTTGTAGAATTCAAATAATTCCTGTGAACTAATTTTGCAAAATAATTTTGGTGTTTCCCCATCTCTGCCCCCCCTCAATTAAATTCCAAAATAAGGGCCAAGCCTCAGGGAGTCGTATTAATTTGTATAATGCCTCTTCTTCTCATAGTAGTAAACCTGCCATGATGATGGGCTTTTGAAGGCCAGAAAACATTATAAAAGGTGTTTCTAAACTATAGCCTTTCTTAAAAAAGCTTCCTACTCTAAACCATGTGTAGCATCATGAGAAGAAATGCAGCTTCATTCCATTCTTGCATCTTTCTAGTTCACTCTTGTTATCACTAATTGGTGTTATTAAATTCAAAACAGCTCAAGTTTGTTTCCCTCTTTCTCCACTTTTCAAACCAACTCTTGCATATTCAAGTATAACCATTTCTGCTGGGTTAGGTTTTGTTTTAAGTTAATCATCATGTTTTTGTGTAAATTGAAATTAGAACTGTAGTTCTGCGTTTAACTTTAAAATTTATTTTTCTTCCGACAGGGATCTTCTCTCTTGTTTATGTTAAAAAACTATCTTCATAAAGATGTTTTCCAAACTGGCATTCAGATCTATTTGCATGACTACAGCTATAATTCCACGTGCAGTGATAACTTATGGGACAGTATGAATAAGGTAAATCTCTATGGATGCCTTCTAAAGAAGAAGATATATCAACTAATATCAGCAATCAGTTACCCATATATTTTAAGTCTGCTTTTTAGGATAACCTAATTACTATTTCCTTTAAAAGGTCTATTATTGGTCCCTCCATTAAGGAGAAATTTATAGCCTCCTTGTTATAGATGGAGATAGTCTCCTTGAATATAATTAACTAAGCAAAGGTGAAGCAGAGGTGTCAAACACACTTGACTATCATCTTATCGCTATTCTCAAATTAATGTAAACATTCAGTTCCCAAGGACCAGTTGGCTAAATGATCTGTATTAATGAATTAGCTGTGGAATGAATGCTGTTTATATCATCATTTAATTTCACACACATTCACTTGTATTCTAGCCATCTCCATTATCATTGCCTTCAGCTTAGGTATATACTGTGGAGCTGCCTAACTTGTCTTTAGAGGGAAAGGGCATTTTGTTCAATCATATTGCTGTGTTAATTTCTTTATCCTATAAAGTAATCAGAACTCTGGCAGAAATGCTTACCAGACAGTCACCCATAAGTAAGAATAGATTAGAATTTTCCAAACTGTTTTCTTAGATTCCAGATCTCCCCAAAGGGGAGAAAGGTCACTTAGGTTTCAACTTGAGCAGAAGAAATTGAATGGGAGAAGGGATACTATAGATGCTAGCTTTCTCAACTTTTTTTTTACCATCCTTCTCCTGTGTGGATGGTCTTATATTCAGACATTACAAAGCCAGTGTCTGTTTGTCGTTTGTAAAAAAAGAAAAAGAAAGTTCCATCTCAACTCTCTTGCCTTGATTGTTTTCCCTCTGCAGGAGGTTTGCCTGGCTTCTGCTTCTAGCTTTTGAGAAATCGTTTGCCATCTGGCTAATTTGCTTTGTGGATTAGAAGATTCTTCTTTAAGCAGTGCTCTAATTCTAGCCACTAATCAGGAAGAAATCGGCCTCTAAGGGTTTTGTCTTTGTTCCTGAGTGGTGGTTTAATTATGACTAGTAATTTGAAACAGCCTCCTTCAACTGAACTATTCTGGACTTTCAGACCTCAGAATTAGTAGTCAACATGGCAATTGGCGTATTGCAACTAATTTGTAGAGTGTCAAGTTGGAGAAGGCTGGTTGGCATATTATTCAGGCAGATCCCATTTCAGAAAACTAAATTATATCCCTTTCCAAAACAGAAATGTTAAAAACTCCTTAAAAGTCTTACCATTCCATCACCCTGTGTCTATACTTCTTATGTATTCTCTGTTGTTATGAAAATGAAGAGTATTGTGGCTATTTTGCTATTGAGAGCTATATTGTTTCTAGCTATCTTCTTGGAGAGTTGAAGGAATGTTTAAAGTAGCATTTACTGAATGCTGGGTAGCATTTCAGCTTTGACTTCTAAAAATGTGTGATCTTGGGCCAGCTACGCTCTCTCAGCCCAATCTACCTCACAGGGTTGTTGTAGGGAAAATAGGAGGAGAAAGGAGTATTGTTTGTTTGTCACCTTGAGTTACCTATGAAGTAATAAAGGCAGGATAAAAATCTAATAAATAAAAATTGTAGAAACACGAGTAAAGTAATTATGTTAAACCAGCCATGATTTTTTCAAGGACTGTATGACCACTGAAATTGTAGCAGCAACATCCTGCAAATAGATGAAGCTGCATTATGGTGTTGGAGACAGGTGTTGCTGTTTGCTTGCACTTCTGCATAAGTGAAGTATCTTTTAAGAGATCGAACTAGAAATGCTGCATTCTATACTGCTTTAGAGATTGTGTTTCTAAAGCAGAATCGAAATAAGCAGAAAGTCCTACAAAGTAGAACTTGTAATATTAAACTATGATTAACAAGCTTTTATTGAGAATTATATTTCAACTATTTAGCTCTTTATTTAATTACAAGAAGCTATTGATTATGTTGACACCACCATTTTTTGCATGTGTATCTGTTTCCTAAGGTGACACATGGAACCCCTGATATAAAAACAATTATGAACACTTGGACAATTCAGAAAGGATTTCCATTGGTGACCGTCAAAAGGGAAGGGAAAAAAATCCTTTTGAAGCAGGAAAGATTTGTGCATAATACAGAACTGGGAGATCAAATCTTATCTTCAAGGTTTTCTTTTCCTTTTTAATTTGCATAGTTTAATTTTTCAGCCCATGTTTTAGATTTTAAAAAGGTAAAGGACTGATACATAGGATAAATATTAAATTGTGCATATATGAGGGAACAATAGTTAGATGGAAATCTAATGAAAACTTCGTTACCTTTCTTAAATGTAGTTATTTGTAAACTGAGCTGAGCTCCTGGTGACTCTATGGACACAGCTATATAGATTTCTTGGTAATTATATCAAAGTAGTTAATTGCTTTCTGCATTTAAAAAAATATCAGTATGGCATACAATCCTGAGATTTCCTGGTAGCCTCCCACCCAAGTGCTAATATAATTCTGTTTAGGTGCTTAAAATTGGTGAAGGTCAGGTTAGGTAAGTGCCATTACCTACCTAGGCCTGATCTTTGCACTACTTTCAAAACTAATCAAGCATATGGATTAGACAGGCAACAACAATACTTGTCACGTATAATGTCAAATTAAATGGATAAGGCAGAAATATTGTGAAGACAGGATTTCATTCTTTACATTGTATGACAGAAACCATTTTTTTGTAAATTGCATCTTTTAAAATATCTGCCCACGAGTCTCTGTCAATTTAGATTTTTTTCATATTGAGAAAATACTTTAATTTGAAGAGGAATAAATTCCATCTAGGACATGCCTATAGCCTTGACTCTGATAAGAACAAATATAAGGTATAAATATTAGATAAAGAAATTTGATTTTTAAAAATAAAAAATTAAATTAAAATAGAAATGTTTTGTATAAGTCTCAAAAACAAGTTGTGATTTTGTATGTAACCTGAGATTGAATTACTTGATTCTCTCTGTACCAAACTCTGAATTCCACCAACTACAGAATATCAGGAGCTAGACAAGAATCTGCCTGTGACTGTACTGCCATTAATACTCAGCCTCAAAAGTACAATTAGCCACAGTAAATATGGATAACTTCCCACCCTTATTTTTCCCCATGGTGTTCAGTCTGGGACATCAATAAGTGTTCACTAAACTTTACATTCTTATTTTGTTTAAAAAAAGGCAAGGCAAAAAAAACACAAACAAACCCTGAACTCACACTCTCTGATAATGTCAATAGATCATTATCACATAGTTTTTGCCTGGAAGCCATTTTCTTTAAAGGACAATCTCTGGCAGAAAAAAAAAAATGCTCTGGATTGGTATGATCAGATTTAAATTAGTGAGGATAATAGTTTTGCAGAAAGTACAGGAGTACAGGTAGTCCTCTACTTACGATCGCCATTAAGTCAAAAATTTCCATTGCTAAGCGAGACAGGTGTTAAGTGAGTTTTGTCTCATTCTACGACCTTTCTCACTGCAGTTGTTAAGTGAATCACTTCAATTGTTAAGTTAGAAACACAGTTGTTAAGTGAATCTAGCTTTCCCTTTGACTTTGGTTCACATGACCCCAGGACACTGCAACTGTCATAAATATTTGATGACATGACCACAGGGATGCTGCAATGGTTGTAAGTCTGAAAAATGGTCATAAGTCACTTTTTTCAGTGCCGTTGTAATGTCGAAAGGTCGCTAAATGAACTGTTGGAAGTTGAGGACTACATTTGTTCTACTGAAATCACCTTGTTGCCTGAATAGTTAAGCTCTGAAAAGGCAAGCTCAACTACTGGGACAGAGAAAGGAACTCTGGATACTTTAACAATTTGCAGTTTGATTTCTATCATGGCACAATTGTTTTATAAATGTATATTAATTTATGAATAATCTCACAGAAGCTTAAGGAAGTTGCCTCTCTACTATAGTTTCATTAGCTTTATAGAACTTCGGGATTTAAGAATATGTACCTTTTTGTTTTTCCCAGTTATCTGTGGCAGATCCCTCTTTCTTATATCACAAACAATGACAACTCATCCCTCCCCTTGCAGACATACTTACTGGATAAAAAGACAGGTAAGCTATTTGTCTTTTGAAAATTAGAAAATGCTGTACTAAGAGCAAATTTCAGTGGTTCTAACATGGTCCAGTCATAATAAAGCCACATTCCAGTCATCATAAAGAACTAACACTTCTGAAGACTCCTAGCAACTCTGCCCTAGAACATTTTGTTTCCTCTTGGGGTTAGCTTTCAGTATCTAGTTTAATAATATGGAACAAGGAAACTGGAACAAATAAGTGTATGCATGTATGTATGTATGTAATACAAGTTATATATAATACAGTTATATATAACTTTTATTACATATACATGTATATATATATATGTATGTATGTATGTATGCATGTATGTATATGCGTATGTATATGCATATGTCTGTCTGTCTATAATAATACAAATAGTCTCCAATTATAGTATCCAACTTAAAAGAGAACCCTGAGATATAAAGAGGCTGCTTATTACTTGGTAGATGGTGTTGCCCTTCCTCAAGCAGACAAAGCACTGAGAGCATGTGTTTTAATAGCTTATTTTCAGCAATTCCTGAAAGTATTGCACAGCATCAGTGCTTTGTAGGTTCAAAGGACAATGACATCCATTATTTTTAGTAGATGCTTCTTGTAAGTATTCTGCTTCTTGTAAGAGTTCTGATATAAATACAAATTTGGGTTAAAAGCAGAGTTAGGAAATGGAACTTAACACAGGAACTGCCTGATACCAAATAACTGAACTCAGAAAGGGGGAGTTCAAAGCTTAGACCTGTTGCTGTGAGAATAAATGCAATAAATAAACCATACCTCACAGAGTTATACTGTGATATTGAAAGTAGCATGTGAACAAATTTTATATTGCTGAAGTGTGCTTACTGTGTTTCCCCAAAAATAAGACCCAAATGGAAAATAAGCCCTATCATGATTTTTCAGGATGGTCGTAATATAAGCCTTACCCCCAAAATAAAACCCAGGTAAGATTGTCAGCCATATGTACGCATTTAGTACCATATTTCCCCGAAAGAAGGATCTAATCAGAAAATAAACCCTAATGCATCTTTTGGAGCAAAAATTAATATAAGACCTGGTCTTATTTTCGGGGAAACACATACATGTTATTAAGCAAATGTGACTTTTATTGCTTTTGGAGGAAGGTATCTGTATTGGAAGTATCTTTTGGAGGAAGGTACCTGTGAAAATTCAGTTTATGCAATTTTACTACTGTACAAGATGTCCTTTATAGCACTGAACAGGAGATACTTGTCCCTGCAAGTACTCCTGATCTTCTGTAAAAAATACAAAGACAAATGGCTGTCCAAATATTGTTAGTCAATAATGTTTATCCTTGTGAGTACTTAGCAATTAGCATTGACTTAAACTGATGGTTTTTTTCTTTTTTTCTCTCCTTTTCTTTTTTATCTAGGTGTAATTGAGTACCCTCATGAAATAGAGTGGGTGAAGTTCAATGTGAACGGAAATGGTTACTATATTGTGCATTATGATGATAGTGCCTGGATTGCTCTAATTAAACTACTGAAGACAAATCCCAGTATTTTTGATCCCAAAGACAGAGCCAATTTGATTCATAATATATTTATTCTGGCCGGGTAATGATCCAAAATAAAAATTTCTTTTTGTCAAATAAAATTGTAAATATAAAATATTCAGCTATCACAGAGAATGGGATATACACCATATTCAATGTTTTAGAGATTCAGGAACATGGTGAAACAGAAAAATACCAGTTCCAATTTAGAATTGCTTTTTGGGGGAGTTAAATGAATTTGGAATTTAATACAAAATAATTGAGCAGATATCAATAACACTATAGTTATACCATATATATTTGTTCTTCCTCCAAATAGCAATTCCAATAATATGAATTCATAAAAACCACAAAAATATTAGAAACAACAATATTCTTAAAAGAGCTAAGAGCTAAGTCAATTTTAAATAGACACACAGGTCTTCCGGGTGCGCTTTAAGGTGTTGGTTCTCATCTTTAAAGCGCTCCATGGCTTAGGGCCAGGGTATTTGCGAGACCGCCTGCTGCTACCGATAACCTCCCACCGGCCAATACGCTCTCACAGAGAGGGCCTCCTCGGGGTGCCGTCGGTCAGGCAATGTTGGCTGGCGGCCCCCAGGGGAAGAGCCTTCTCTGTGGGGGCACCCGCCCTGTGGAATGAGCTGCCTCCTGGAATACGATTGATCCCGGACCTCCGGACCTTCCGTAAAGCCCTGAAGACGTTTTTATTTCATCAAGCCGGCCTAGCCTAAATGGTTTTTAATTGGGATTTTAAATTTTATGGATTTGGGGTTTTAAATTTGGGTAGCCAATGATTTAATTCTTTTAATTATCTTAACTTTTGCATTTGTATGTTTTTTAATTTTGGCTGTTCACCGCCCTGAGTCCCTTCTGGGAGAAGGGCGGTATACAAATTAAATTAATAAATAAATTAATAAATAAATGTAAAAAAAAGAGGTGGCTATTTGATTATACAATTGTGCAGCCATCTTGATTTTTTTTTTTATGACCCTGGCGCAGATGCCTCTGTCCGATACATTTCCAGGATGAAGTACATAGCTTTTGATTTGATCTAAATTGAAGAAAACCAGGGGTCTGCCTTCACATTTTGTGAGAGGTGCACATCTAAGCTAAATGTAGCTCATGAATGAAAGAACATATATGTGTCCCAGGTTAATGTTTCAGGATCCAATTTGTCTTGATCCCCGGGACCAGAGGTTTAGGCTTCTGAGATTTCAGGGTTGTGCTGGAGCCAACCCTCAAGGAACTTCTCTCTCCCCTGTAAATAATAAATAAATCTTATAAATTGTTTGTAAGATGCTTGTACAACATACAGGGGAGAGAAAGGAAGAAAGAAGGTACAAGATATGGCACACCCTGTCATACATCAAAAACATTTAGGAAGAATAGAATGCAGCTTCTGAGATCTGCAAGTGGGCTTCAAACACTGCCCAGAGGCTACCATATGAGGATCAACCATGCATTGCAAAGATCGCTTGGAGATACTTCTAGTGTAATTTACTGGATCTATAAGTTTAAATTTAATTTATAAGTTTTCACAGTATAAACCTTTATCATATTAGAATTGGAATTCTGGTCTAAAACTTTTTTTTGATCTCTTTAGGGTAGGAAAAGTCTCTTTGACCATGGCTTTCAATCTAGTAGACTATATAGTGAAAGAAAGCAGCACAGCTCCAATCATGCAAGCTTTATACCAAATCAGACGTGTCTTCAATTTAGTTGAGAAACGGGGAATGCTGGATCTCTCAGCCAGAGTGTTGGTAAGTTCTTGAAAATAGGAAAGCAGCAATTGTGTGATAACTAGAAAGTTGTACAGGTAGTCCTCCACTTACAACCATTTGTTTAGTGAGTGTTCAAAGTTACAACAGCACTGAAAAAAATGACTTAAGACACGATTCAGCTTTCACACGACTGTTCCAGCATCCCCGTGGTCATGTGATCAGAATTTAGGTGCTTGGCAACTGGCATGTATTTATGATAGTTGCAGTGTCCCAGGGTGGTAGGATTGCCATTTGTAACTGTAAAGAAGTTGTGGCAGCTTCATCACTGGAAGCTTTCAAGAAGAGACTGGACTGTTATCTGTCAAAAATGATGTAGGACAATGATAGCTAACCTTTTCCAGATTGAGTGCCCAAAGCGTGCGCGCGAATGCATGTGCGCGCACCCAAACCCCCCAAATGCAATGTGCGCACACCCCCTGTGCATGTGCCCCACCCACCGTGCATGCGTGAGTTGCCCCCAGCATGTGGCCCATCCCCCCACGCATGTGCGAGTGCCTCCCGCATGTGCCTCGCCATCCACACATGCACGGCAGGGACCCAAAGACCAGCTGGCCGGTGGGAGGCACGTGTGCATACGCAGCGGAACTGAACTGGAGTGACGGCTTATCAGAGAGGGCGCTGTGTGCCACTTCTGGCATATGTGCCATAGATTTGCCATAAGGGATGTAGGGTCTGCTTGGGCGGGGGGTTGGACTAGATGACCTGCAATCCTTCCAATTCTGTTAATCTGACTCTCTGCCTAACCTTCCCAGATAGCTTCCAACAAGCAGTCAGTGGAGGAAGCCAGATTCACTTAACAACCGCATGATTCTCTTAAAAACTGTGGCAAAAAAGATTGTAAAACGGGGTGCAACTCACTCAAATAAGGGCTTAATTGTGGTGGTAAGTCGAGGACTATCTGTATTACGTTGTAGGATAATGTCTGAAATGATATGTAGCATTCATTTTATTTTTGCTTAAAAATGCTATGCTTTCAATAGTTTATTATTTAATCTACAGGCATTGTTATTTAGAAACGCATTGTAATGACAAAGACCATCTGCTCGTAACTGCATCCCTTTCTATCTTGCGTAAATAAATACAACTACTTATAACGGAAGAAACAACTTAACAGTTCCTTTCATTTCTTAATGGTCTCAATATTTTTTACTGCTCTCTCTTCTAGTACTATGATTGTGAGGGAATGCTATACATCTTATTTCCGATAAATAAATAGGGTTGTGTGATGTCATAGTTTTTTCTACTTACATCCGTCTAGATTTCTAGTACAAATTCATTCACCTTCACATCGACATCATATAATAAAATTACTGTTGCATAATAAATTCTGACTGTCGAGTAGATCTCTCTCAGACATGGGATCTTTGATGCTCATTTTGGAGTTGGTGTAGTTCCTGAATAGATCAGGCTGTGATAATAGTTGACAGAAGGAAATGAGAATTAGTCAGGTTTTGCTCAGATCTGTGTTCTACATAATTTTTAGTAGATTTTGAAGTTAGTCATAGCACAATTGTAACAAAGCTTTTTCTATTGACCAGTGGTAATCTTTTTCTTTTGCTATTTTCTAGTATAGGATTGAAAAATTATTTGGAGAGAAGATTGACCAAGAAACATGGAACAATAATAAGACCCTCTCAGAACTAGAGCTACAGTCAATTCTACTAAATTTTGCCTGTTCCTATGATTTAAGAAAGTGTAGTTCAGTTGCTTCTGATCAATTTAAGACGTGGAAGGACTCCAATGGGACAATAAGGTAAATAATAATAAAAAATCTTACTTAAATTACCTTTCTGCTTAGGCACTGAGACATTACTTCACCATCACCAAAAAATATCTTTTTAAAAAATCAGTATATATATGCAAAAGTGTATCTCTCTCATTGGAGAAGAAATTTTACTATGGGCACACAGTGAAAACTTGAGCACTTCATATGACAACAAACCCAATTTTTGATGCTAATTACAGATAGTCCTCAATTTACGACCATAATTGAGCCCAAAATTTCTGTTAAGTGAGTTTTTCCCCATTTTCAGTGCCGTTGTAACTTTGAACGATCACTAAATGAACTGTTGTAAGTTGAGGGCTATCTGTATTTGAATCAGTCACAGACCTAACTTACCTCTTTACGCAATGTCATATTGTCTGACTGACTTTGCGCTACTATGAACTTTGTACCATCTTTATTTATTTAGTATATGGCAAATACATGGACTTATAGTAGTTCAAATATTAACATCAGACATTGGGCTGGTGTAAGCTCTTGATGGACATTCGGACACAATGTGGTGGATATTTTGTCGAGGAACACCACAGTCACACTGAGGGGTAGAGACAAGACTCCACTTCGGTCGATGAAGACAGCTGTGGTTTTTAAGCCTCGCTGGAAACCAGCTTCGATATGTCCTGTTAGACCCGTTTTGTTTATCCGTTGCCATGTATTTAGAGAGCCTGTAGTTCTACAAAGATGACCAGCTGCCAACTGTCGTTAACTGCCAATTCTTCAACGTACACTACCGTGCTATCCAGGGTGCACCACGAGGAGGCAAACTAGCATCGTACCCGTGTGGTTCATTGTACCATAAACTACAATAGATGCCATAAAGCTATCTACTGCAGTGTATAAACCACGTTTTGTGGTTCAGTGTATTTTGTGAGCACAACCAATTTTTAAATTTCAGCAAGCCATGCTTAGGCAAACCTTGACTGAATAAAATGTCTCAACACAGTTCACTGAAAGTTATTCTCCCTATGCTGCTTGGGAAGTAAGGCTCATTTTGACATGCTCCAAAACATACAGAACCAGTTATGCGCACATTTACTTTTCTTGAACTTGTAGTGATGGATAAGGCTCTTCACATTTTAAAGTCTTCCTTTTCATCTTGAAGAACGTATCTTTCCAGTTCCATCAAAGTTTATATATTTTATGAGTACTTTCTTTACTAGGAATCTTTCCCTGATATCAGTTTAACGCATGTATTCCACTGTCTTTCAGAGTGGATTGTATCCTCATTACTGCTATATTAATACAATGCTGATTGGATAATCATATAAGACAATACAGACCGCTAACAGGGACTAAAACAGGATTGAGCAATGGGTAGCCTTTTTGATTTCAGGTGCAAAACTAAGTCTGCTTACTTTCTAGCAGGCTACAGGAAGCCTAGGAATGTGGTGACCACTGAGAGGGCCAAGGATATTTTATCTGCCTTTCCTTTTTATTGGTTGTTTTAATTTTAAAGAGTAAGAATGGGAAAAGTTTTCTTTAGTCTTCCAAATATTTGGCACTGATTTTAAGATCCAGTGGCCGGTCTCATATGAGGGAGAGCTGATGCCTGCATGTGGCCAACAGGCTACCCACCCTTGGCCTAAGAATTCAATGGTTTGAACACCATTCTACGATCACAGATGCTAGTAGCCATATTAAGACATTTTTGTATATTTCAGAACACATCATCAAATAGAAAGCCTTTGGTGTAAGACTATCACCCCAAAAATTATTATTAGTGAAGAAGGGAAAAGCCAGTGAAGTTTACTGCTGGCTAGGAAACAAAGCAGTTCGATGTAGTGGTTAAGATACCAGGCAAGAAACCAGGAGTCTGTGATTTATAGTCTCACCTTAGGCCAAAGCTAGCTGAGCTAGTTACTCTCAGCCCTAGGAAGAAGTCAGTGGCAAATCATTTCTTTAAAAATTGCCAAAAACTGCAAGGGCTAATCCAGGCAGTTGCCAGGAGTCAGCATTGACTCAAAGGCATACACACATATAAAAGGAGATGTTCTTCTTCTGAAGACAGGTTCTGTAGAAGTTCTCAGTTGTACTTGCATTTCAAAAGCATAACAAAGAATGGGAGCAGGCTGGTATCCATTTAATATTTAATTAATTTATTTGATCACTGTTATAATCAATTGAGTATTACACTATTATTTTTAACCCTTTGCACTCTTCTCTGATGCTGATGAGCTGTCAGACTTGTCACAGCAGTTGGAAGAACAAAAAAGCAGGGTCCAGCTCAACGTCTGTCAGAAATGACTATTGCTCAAAGAAAGACATTTATGATGCCAAATATAAGGCTTGAGGCTGAGAGACAGGAATTACCTATTCCCAGACCTATTAGACCTTTTATGGCATCTCAGTCTCAAGGCCCTTAAGAAAATGTCTAAATACCAATGACTTGAAAAGACAGGAAGCATAAACTAGAATTTTAAAAAAATCTAATCTAGCTGAGCTGTATTTGTGAGAAATTGCTGAATAACCAGTTCCTGAACAGAAGATTATTGTTGGGAGAGATTTACAGCTTTGGCTCTGTGAAGCCTGAAATCAGAAGTTCAGTTTTGCTGGTAGTTGCAGTTGTTCTTGCTTGGTTCTATCTGGGCCAGAAGCCAATATTTGAAGATTTTGTGAGCAACAAGTGCATGCCATTAGATAAATGTGACTCAGCCCAGTATTAGGTTTAGTGTCTTTGCCTTTTTTTCCATTTTGCATAACAAAACGTAATTCTGAGTAGTAATTAAATTTAATTCTTCATTCCTAAATATCTGAGAACAAGAACAAAAGACTGAGAACAAACGACAAAGAAAAAATGACTGAGAACATGAAAAAGATTAACTTATAAGGGGAATATTTGTGTTCTACTACAAATAACTCTATCATATCTAAGGACTTAACTGAGAGCCGTTAGCATTTACCTGTTTTTATGTTTAACATGGATGTTTATATGAGATTCTAAGAATACATATATACTTATTCTTTTTATATGTCTCTGCAGCTTGCAGACAAATATTATGAAGATCATATTCACAGCTGGAGCAAAAACTGAAGATGGCTGGCAATTTCTTTTAAAAATGTATTCTTTTGTGGATTCTGAACCAGAAAAACTCAAAATTCTTGAATCACTGGCCAGCACAAGTGATGTTAAAAAACTCATCTGGTACAGTTCCTCCTTCTATTCCCATATGCAGTACAGTTTTAAAATTGAAGATTTTAAATCTTAAATAAAAGTTAGTTATCTAGTTATGGTCAGCAGTCTCTGGTTTAATTTATTTAAATTTGATTACTATAGATTCCTCTGTGTCATTGCACAAAGAAGTTAAGAAAGTACATGAACATTTAGCCTGCTTTCTGTAATCTTACAAATCTTTTACATTTATGAGAGAAGTGTATTGACATCTGGGTTAATGAACAGATGTTTTGGCTTATGAACACCTGTGTCTGGGGAACATTGTTTCTTCCCTTAATTATTAACTCAATTGCTTTAAAGTTGATAAAACAGATTATGCTTTCTTAGAATACTCAGGGATGTGCAATTGCGAAGTTTTAGATGACTAGCATCATCAAAGTGGCTCTGAAAGAGATGAGTGGTCTCTAAATTTAATAAAGTCAATCAATCAATCAAGTTTCTAATCTTCTACTGAAGCGAAATAAAGAGGGTATGTTTTGCTTAAATAAACAAACATAAGAGGTTCTCAACCACACAACAGGATTTGGTTAGCTATTTCCTAGACTCAGGTACTTGCTCATACTTGACCTGATCACCAATGATCCCGCTCAGACTAACCTATTTCAAATAGCTTCCTTCTTCTCTAGGAGCTCAAGAATATTTTATACTACTGTGATCTATGCAGTAAATATTATACTGCATTGATTCTCTGTATATTGAGAACTCTGTCTGCTAAGAGCATGCTCAAGTTATAAGACATACACACGTACGCTTTATCTTGAGTTTATTAATACAAAGTGTTGTGCATTCCTTCATTTTTGAAGCATCTGACTCCAAAAGGAGCAATTCTTTTCAAATTGTTAAAGCAGCAGTAGCTTCTTTAGAAGCTGCTCCTGGCTTTTTCTGTGTGTTTTGCAAAAGGGCTAGGCCTATGCTTGTATATGCATGCATTTTCATTCATCTTCTATACTATCTATTAGGTTGCTAGGAGATTTGTGATCTGAAACATTTTGTTTTGGATATTCGTGAAATATCTTTTATTTAATCATTTAAATGTGGCCTGTGAAATGGAATCCATGTATTTATCCAAAATATATATATGCCAAAGGAGCCCATTTTAAGTTATGATCTGAAGTATTACAAGCTGATATTTATCATAATAGTTTATTAAACTTGTATGTTACTTCATTCTGGGTAGTTCACAATAATAATAAAAATACAATAAAATCAATAGAACATTAAAACAATAAAAATAAAAGATGACAGGCATGATTATATATGGTCAAATAGTGTGTATATATGTTTATATGTATACAGATAATCTTTTGTTCATTCAGTAAATATCCAAAGTTATGGCAGTGCTGAAATTATAGATGATATAATTCTCTGGAAAAAGAGAACATACATGCAATTTTCTTGTTGTTTATTTCATAGGTTAATGCAAACAAGCCTGCAAGGAATTGTCATCAGATCCCAGGATCTTCCAACTGTCATAAAAACTATCAGTCAGAATTTGCCTGGACATTTATTGGCATGGGATTTTGTCAAAGAAAATTGGGATCATCTTATCAAAAAGTAATGCTTTGCTTGAATTATCATTATAATAATTCCTTGTCCCCCTATATCAGGTTCGCCTGATTCGTCAGTTGCGTCCCTTTCTGGATCGGGACTCGTTACGCACAGTCACTCATGCCCTCGTCACCTCCCGCCTGGACTATTGTAATGCTCTCTACATGGGGCTCCCCTTGAGGAGCACCCGGAGGCTCCAACTGGCGCAGAGTGCGGCCGCGCGGGTGGTAATGGGAGCGTCATGGCGCTCCCATGTGACACCTCTCCTGCGCGAGCTGCACTGGCTCCCGGTGGTCTTCCGGGTGCGCTTCAAGGTTTTGGTTACCACCTTTAAAGCGCTCCATGGCTTAGGACCTGGTTATTTACGGGACCGCCTACTACCACCAATAGCCTCCCACCGGCCAGTACGCTCTCATAGAGAGGGACTCCTCCGGGTGCCGTCAGCCAAACAATGTCGGCTGGCGACCCCTAGGGGGAGAGCCTTCTCTGTGGGGGCACCTACCGTCTGGAATGAGCTCCCCCCAGAGATATGGAGGATCCCGGATCTGCGCACCTTCCGCCGCGCTGTGAAGACTCTTTTATTCCATCAAGCAGGCTTGGCCTAATCTCCTCCCTCTTTTAATACATAAATTTTAAATCTGTTCTTAAATTATTGGGGTGTTTTAATTTGTCTGGGCCAAAAAATGATTTAATTCGATTTTAACTGGTTTTTTAAATTTTTGTATTTATGTATCTTATTGCTTGGCTGTTCACCGCCCTGAGTCCTTCGGGAGTAGGGCGGTATACAAATTAAATAAATAAAATAAATAAATAAATAAATATGATTCAGCTGTGAAACGGGTAGTTGCTAACCTCTGACATGAGTAAGGGACTCACATTGTTTCTTACATTGTCCACTGTGCCCTTATTGCTGTCTCGAATTAACACTAGTCAATGAGGGAGATACTTCAGCACTGAGTTGTTTAAAGACACTTTGATTTAGTTCATGGCAATATGGTATCTTGTGACAAACATGACAATTAAGAACCTTTACTGTGGTCTTCTCAATTTGGTACCTTCCAGATGAATAAGACTACCCAGCATCCTTATTTTAATTTAATACTAAATTGGATGAGATTGATTTAAATTCTTCTGTACTCCAGATACAGTGTAATTCAGCTGCTGCTATCTGTGAAATGAATGGGAGAGCATATGTTTAATACTCTGCATTTTCTGGAATTGTGAAAAATATTGAGCTTATTGATGATTTTACAAAAGTTTGTTTTGTGTGGCTGATGACAAATGTAACATAACTGATTTTGGAATTTCCCTGAACCTCAAAATTGGTTAGGTGTCATACAAAATGCTTTAGATTAATATTGGTAGCCCTTGATTTACAACCATTCATTTAGCAACCTTTCAAAATTACAACAACACTGAAAAAAGGGACTTATGACTGGTCATTGCACTTACGACTGTCGCAGCATTTTCCCCTTCCCCCCAGTTTCGTGATCAAAATTTGGATGCTTGGCACTCAGCATTTATGATGGCATCCCACGTCATGTGGCATTTGTCACCTTCCCAGCTGTCTTCCAACAAGCAAAGTCAATGGGGAAGCTGGATTCACTTAACCACTGCATGATTCACTTAACAACTGCAGTGATTTGCTTAGCAACTGTGGCAAAAAAGTGATAAAATTGGGTATGACTCACTTAATAACCGCTTCGTTTAGTAATGGAAAGTCTAGTCCCTGTGTAGGACTACCTGTATAGGTTAGTGAAATATATATCAGATTAACATAGATTAATGACATATATTACTCTTGTTCCATTGTTTCTAAATTTCAGGTTTCACTGTGGATCATACACTATTCAAAGCATTGTAACTTCAACAACGAATCAGTTCTCTACACTAGAACATCTGCTAGAGGTTAGTTGGATAAATTGTTTTGAAAGAATTGTGAAATAATATTCTCACTGATGTAGAAAGGCAATATGTGATGCAGATTAAGATTCTAAATTATAACATTGCTTCACAATACAAATAGTTGCGTGAGGACAAAAGATTAGGTCCACACATGAAGACTTAATTTAACTGATTTATTGCTAAAAGCCTACGCACAAGAATCAACTAATGGTCAGCACTGGTCAGAGTTAGATAAGGGTCAACAAAATTGAAGGGAAGGACTTAGTTCTTTTGTGGCCTCACAGTCATTTTATGTGATCCCTCTTTTCACTCCTCATCCTGGCTGTGCTAGTCCTTTTCCTACAAGGTTGGTCTGTCCATCCGTCTGTCCGTCCGTCCATCCATCCATCCATCTATCTATCACAGGGGTGTCACACGTCACGATGGCGTCATGTGACTTATCGGGACTTCCCCCCCTTCGCTAAACTGGGCATGGGCGTGGCCAACACATGACGCATCCAGTCTGTGGGCTGGGAGTTTGACAGCCCTGATCTATCATCTTCTATACTTCCTATCTCGCCAAGGTGATTGATTATAGGTGGCTTACAATCATATAATTAAAACACAATATAAAACCTTAAAACGCTAAATAGCAACCATATATTTTAAGTTAAAATTCAATAAACCAAAATGGGAAGAAGGGAACAAAGTGTGCATGGGGAGGAGATGAACTCTGTCTAACCCATTAACCACCTCCAAGATGCCACTCCCTCATTGGGATTCCAGGCCGGCTGACAGAACCAGGCTTTCAAGTTCTTATGGAAGGCGAGAAATTTTCATAAAGATTTTGGGGATTTGATAACATGAAAGATCTTTTCTGAAATTAGAGAAATTGTTTCTAATAGGGAGTCATTGTGTTTGTTCATTTAAGATAATTATTTAATGTCTTGCATTGTGTGAAATAGTCTGAATTTCAAAATTTACCATTTCAAATTTACCATGTAATTAGAACTGAACTATAAAGCACAATTAGTAAATATGTAATGAAATTTTCATTTCCCATCAATTTGCTGATACATTTAGATAACAGCTGGTTGGGTTATTTTAAATGTTTAAGGGATTATTTCTTTTCATTGCTCTGATAGCTTTTCTCTCTCTTTTTTTTCCCCATGTGTTACTTTTCTTTAGGTTAAGTCATTTTTTGAATCAAAGTCAGAGGAAACTGCTCAGTTGCGGTATGTCCGAGAAGCTATTGAGACAATTCAACTGAATATTCAGTGGATGGAGAAAAACTTGGCACTCCTTGAAAAATTGCTATAGTAATCACAATTCTCTTATAGCTTGTATTAATCACTAGGAATGCTGCAACTCTTGGTCTTTTGCTTTTGCAAAAAAAAAAAAAAAAAAAGTTAAACATGAGCAATGCAATCTTTGTTTTTTGCACTGTGAGAGAGGGTTGTAGTTAGCTCAGGGTTAATCTCTTCTGAATTGGCTCTCTTTGGAGTATTTGTGGACGATATAATTGCTAATAAGGGAAGAGCTCATTTTGATCAGATATTTACATCAAACAAGGATACTATAATAAGTTTTAAAATTTAAGTACAGTTCCCTTTCATTGTAGGAAAATGGAATTCCATTTCTACTTATAGAGTACAGTTTTACTTAATGAAAAAACAAGAGAGCAAGACAAACACTCCTGAGACCTGCTTTTTCTTTGCAAAATTCAGTTTGGTCTTTCTCACTGTGCATAGTTTCCTGAATTGTAAATAATGTCTCTGTTGTAAAGCATTTTTTATCACCATTATAAGCAGTGGCTAAAAAACAATAAGGTGAATAGGGGAAGTAAAAAGTAAGATTTGGGGAGTTCTGGGTGTTGATTTATCTAGGTATTTTCTAGAAATTATGCAAATATGAGAATTTTTTAATTTGTCTACAACATGGCTAGATATTACTAGTACTGTGTACTGAATAAGTTAAATTACCTTTTGTAAACATAAGTAAAATGTTAAGAGAGCTATGCTGAATCTGACCATAGAGGTTTTCAAAAAGGTTATAAATTATAGGTTGGAGAATGTTTTATACAGTTTTCAGAATCCAGTTTTGTTTCTCCATTTGGTATAGCTGCCTAAAGTATATAATACACTGATTCAGCAATTTCAGAATTATTGGTTTGGGAGTTGCCTGGTTTTAATTCCTTTCAATACTGACCTGATGTTTCCCATTTTTCTGTACTGAGATATTTCTGAAACTAGATCATGCCTGTGCTTTGACCAAAGTAATTATTTGTTAAATCATGAGACATGCTGTTTGTGTCATCCATCCTTGTTCTAAAACCTTTCACCAAAAATAAAGCATGCCATATTATTATAAGAAATTATCCCATACTTGTGAAACTCTTCTACCTGTGCTGACTTTTATAGTAAAATAAGAAATTGGCATTTGAGACATTATTGTCAACAATATTCTATGTTAACCAATATAATTCTAAAATCCCCCATTAAAATATTACATTATAAGAAGAATCGAGAGAAATAGAAACAGATGAAAAAAAATGAAATGTGTTGATTTAGGCCAGCTTCCCCAACTTGATGTTTTTTAAGTGTTTTAGAACTATAAATTCCAAAATACTTAGCTATCATGTTGAGATTTTCAGTTCTGGGATTTGTAGTTCCAACACATCTTAAAGGACACCAGATAGGTAGTGCCTTCAATCATTTGAACAGCTCTAGAGTACTCTAGAGTAGTTTCTAAATTTGTTCCTATCAAAGAGGATAATCTAAGAACCTCTTTCTTCAAGCAAATGTGAACTTGGAAAGGTAATGGATCCAATTTGGTGCAGCTTTTGAGACATGTCTTTTTTTCAGGATGGGGGGGGGGGGAAACCAGTTTTCCCTGAAATGTATATAGATTCTACTATAAAAACAATCAGAAGATGGTTCTTTAGTTCAACATTTTACTACTGATTTTACTTCATTTTTCATGGAGGATTACATACTCTGGAACATTTTAGATCTCATTATTTCTGTGCCATAAAATCCAATGTTTCATAAATCAGTATTGGGTAGTGTGTTTACTTTCTTCATAGGTATTCCAAAAATTGAATATAAGTGTGGTAAAGCTGATATGACATTTGTGTTACAAATAATTCAAAGTGAAGGACATTGCTGAAGAATATACTAAATTCAATGTCTGAAGCACTTTGGGGTCAATAAGAAAAAGACAGTTTTCCAGATTAAGAGAATCATTTGAAACCAATTCTGCTTAGTTATGAATATAATATAAAAACATAAGTTAGATAAGTTGTTTTCAATTATATTTCAACTATATTGAAAACAAGGAAAGAAAAAAAATCTAGTTTTAGTACTTCTGACTCTCTAATATACTGTTTTCATTGCAAGTGAATAGCTCAACTCTTAATTTTGGTTGAAAATAACTCATCTTGATACCCATCAAAAATGAAAATTGTCTGACTTCACAATGTGAAGAACATCTAACCTGGTTGTTAGAGAATGTGACGTTTGCTATATTTCCCTCATATGTTTTGTTTGCCACTTACATTTTTGTATATTTCCTTGCTCCCTCCCTCTGCTTGTTTGTTAGATCATCTGACTCTTAAAATCATATGTAGTTGTATTTGCTACTGGAAATGTGAACTGGACTTGAAAATGTAGCACGCATATATTCTAAATTAGAATATTTTATTTTAAATGAAAGCACTGATATTTTGAAAATACTTTCAATTATTTATCTTTTTAAAAATAATAGTGGCTTGATTTTGATTTACATTTGATTAATTGTGCTTAAATGGAGAAACATATTTTAAAATAATGTATAGATTTGGATTTGGTCCTTATCAAAGCAGTTAGTACACTTATTTGCTTCCAACAAAGTTTGATTTCCCAAAATGGATGATCTGGAAGAGTTGGATTTTCTGTACATATGTATTTGTATGTATAGTGAAACCATAAATGATAGGTATTATACTTTAAATATAATTGTCTTGAATCCATTCAGAAGAATTTTGTGTAATAGAATGAAATGCTTTTATCCAGTTCAAAAATTAGGGGTGACTTTAATAGAATAGAGAATTTTCTACTACATCAAGAACTGATTAAAGTAAGTTGAATGTTCTCAATTTTCTTTATGGCTTTTTAGCTTAGAAATACCTGATTCTAAATCTTGATCAAAGCTTCTGTGTTATTTTGAAATCTTAACATCTTCTACATGTAACCTGTTGGAAGTGGTAGTGTATTTTGTTTTGATTTTTCCCCTCCTAAAATCACTTACTTTACTATAGAAATGCAGTGTAGAGTGATACAAACTATATACTGTACGTCCAATCCCCCAATTAGGTTCAAAGCTTTCTATAATAGATGAAATTGGTATTGGGGAAAACATGAATGAGATCAATTGGTTTTGTTTTCAATCTGTTTGAAAACATAGTTCATGTGCCTTAAAGTATAAGTATTGTAAAAAATATATAATGGAAGTCTATTTTTCTTAAAAGTCCTTCATAGTTATGAATCTCCATAACCTTGAAGATTATTGAGAGCTATAATGTTAGCACTTAATCAGTGAAGGAAAACCTTTTTGTTCAACTTATCAACATATCCCTTTGAATGACTAAAAAACAAAACAAAAAAATGATTTTGGTCTTTGTAGCCATGAGTCCCACAGAACTTTAAATAGCCAAGGGCATTGTATATGAATGGCTAGTTTGTTCTCTTTAGTGTTAAGAACGTAACACTATATTTAAAATACACATGGAGCATTGTGTGTTTTTCTATATGTTTGCATTGAAGCATTTTATTAAAGAAATAATTAAATAAGGTTTATCCCAATAATTTTGCTTTGTGGATAAAATGTATAGCTCTCTATATTTGAAGCACATCTTTTAAGTCTACAAACTTTGGAGAAATACTCTATTTGCATCTTAAATATGTTTATATATATATGCATACCAATATATGCGTGTAACATTGATAACTTTTCTGCCTATTTTATTTCACATTGAAAGACTAGGCCTGTCTAGTATATCATCATAATCAACCCAGAAGTTTTAGTTGTGGTTCTCAAAAACCATTTTTTTTTCAATATGTTTGAGGAGAAAATTACTAGATACATATAACAGGAGAGTCACTATAGTAGCTATATTTAATTTTTTTTAATATAAAGGAAAATACAGTTTTTATCCTGTCTCTTCGTATTAGATTTTGGAGGCCCAAGGCGTGCTACCAAAAGGCCAAATATAACTCTTGGTCCCCAAAAATAGTCCAGACCCACTGTACACATGTATGTGCCTCTTTCTCAAATGTTGCACTGGATATGGGGAAGGCATACACTAAGAAGAATAGGATTGGTATGTTTGGTCTTCTCTCTACATATTTGGCTGAATGCAGAGTTCAGTATATACAGCATAAAGTATACCTACTCCAGTATTTAGAATCAGGTTTTGTTCTCTTTGAAATAGGTGCCAGACGTAAAACCCAAATTTGTATTCATCCTAGAATTCAAAATTATCAAGTTTGAGCACTATAGTTTTCTTCTGACATTGGGAGACAAATTTCTCCTGGGCCATTTTGTGATCTCTATGGAATTTTGAAAAAAAAATGCTATGCATAGTAATTTATCGTTTAACTTGTGGTTTTGGAATTGGTGAGAGTGTTCCAAATAATATTTTTGAAAAGAGAGTGCATGATGGTTGTATAGGTATATGTAAAAGGGCCTTAAAAGTGCAGGTTTCAGCTATAAATTTGTACATATGTAGCCATATTGTGGCTGTAATTCTGTCAAAATGTACACAAAGCAATCCAGCCACTTAAAATTGCCCATCCTCAAAGTAATATTTTTTTTTACTTCAAATAATGAAACTGCTTTATTTTTGAATGCTCTCAAAGCTACTATCTTTTAACTGTAAATGTAATGTTAGTTTCTTTATATAGCTGTGGGAGATGGAATTCATGTAATAGATCTTGCTGCTTTTAAAAACGGCCTGCTCCATTACAGGTGAAATTGGACATGCACTGTGAGGCTAATACTTGAAAGAATGTGGCCTTATTTTATTTTAATAACATTATGTTATATAGGATGCTGACCCTTATATATTTATATGACTGTCTTCCACCTGTTCTGTGTTAGAACAATCCTCCCTCTAATGATAGACTGGCTTTTAAAAATCCTTCTGGAAGATGTTATCTTTCACTGCACTCTGAACTTTTAAAGATTGCTTCATTTAAGAATACATTTTTGTACATATTTCACTAATGGTTGCCCTCATACTGATGTTTAGATATATGCTACTTAATTTCCACTTCAAATGCTAATTGATAGTCCTCCAAATATGCATATAGCTTTTTAAAAAATGTTTGCTGATGTTTTATCCATTATATGTTTATAATGTTTTATCCCATAGTAAGATATTTAGCCAATTAAAAATGTTGTTTTGCCATACTCTCAGGTCTTGATATTTAAGAACTTAAGCCTCCTAGAATATTACTAAAACCTGCAATTTGCAGCAGAAATGCAGATCTTTACCCATGACATCGCCGCTTTGATCAAAGCAATGGTTGAGCATCTTTTTTAGGTTAGTCATGGCACATGTAGCAAATTACTGTTGAAATATAAGAGTTACCTTGATAAAATGTGCAAGACTATGAGGAAGTTGGAATGAATGACTTGAGAGCTACTGAACAGTTTTAATTTACAGGGTCTTAGAAAGAATGGATTTAAGAGTAAATTTGCACCAGATCTGTGGAGAGATTGTAGTTCTGTTGATAACAGGAAACTGGCTTAAGTAATGGTAACATCAAAGCAGTTCTGGAATATCAAATATTATTGGACACTGAATGGGATTAGACTTCTCTGTTGATATCTTTATAGAAAGCATAGCATACATTTTTTATCAAAAGAGTAACTCCAAGTTGTACAATATTTGCTTTGAAGAAGAGTATTTTAGAAAACAAGATGTGGTTTGTGTCTGTATATAGATATACACATTATATGCAAATCTGTGGGTTTCCTTAATATGTAAAGGACAAATGAAAGCCTATTTTCTTATACTTTGAATAAAATGGTGTGTGTATAACCAGCACTGACTGAATGGCATATATATTGCGAACACAATTGCATTTTTTGTGAAATAAAAATAAAACTGTTTAAATATTATGACTCTCTTGTATTTTTGTGACTATCCTGTGTTTTTACATAAGTAGAGGTAGTTCAAACCCATTGCTTGATCCTTCATTTTTATTTTATTTTTAATCAGGTTCTCTTTTTAGAAAAAGAGACTTTCTAAGTCACAGATGTAATGCATTCATTGGTTTACAGGACAATTCACTATTGTCTTTTGCAGACATATCTTTCTTTCTTATTCTGCTAGGTAGTTCTGTCAAGTGTTAATATGAGACCCACGAAGGATTTTTTTCCCCTTTAAGTTCTTCAAATCCTGCTTCACTCCTACACTCCTTCACTGATGTTGGGGAGAGAGGGGATTGCAAATTTATTGTCCCAATTGGTGGCTTGGCATCTTTTCCTGTTCACCAGCCTGAAGGACCCTTCTGCTTGTTCTAAACAACTATTAAACGACCTCTGATTGGCGTTTTGCTTTTGTATTGAAAACGCATATAACAGCTTTCCCATACATGGGACTTTGGACGAGCAGGAATTACAGGCAGCATGGCCAAATGTGGGGAGTTGGAAGTCCTTACATATAACAGCATGAGGAAGGATGCTAAAATTGAAATGTTTGGTGTAGTTTCACTCCATAAGAAGCATTGAGCTACTACAGTGGGGTGGTATAATTTTTCTCTGCCCACATAAGAGAAATTCCCCACACCAATGTTTATCTAAAAACTCACAGCTTGTGCTCCCATCATCTTTGAGAAGGAAGAATAAGTAACTATCTTAAAATATTTCTGTTAAGTGAACTGAGTTATAACAAAGTCATTGATATGTGCTATCAATCCAGGTGTTAGACTATTCATACACTCTATACTCTGAATATGTATTATAAACCCCCAGTCACAATGAACCTAGGGATAGATCTGAAGAGCTGGGTAAGTGTTATGCAGCAGAAAGCTAGCTCTGCTGACATTTTGAGGGTACGATCTGATATATTTTCCTTTTTCTTCAATAATTCCACTAATCTACAATATTGCAGCAAGATGTCTGACATTCAACCTAGTGTGAGCTTACTGTCTTCAAATCCTACAATTTATTGACTAAGGACTGCCTGCTAGTATCCATTTTCCAAATGACTTGGAAAACAAAGCTGAAACAGCAAAGCATGTTCACTCCCACTGAATTTTTCTTGTGTAAAGTGAGGCTGACATAATTATTGCTGCTTTGAGATATATAGTATATAAATTGATTAATAAAATTGAGGTCAAAAGAAAAAATCCCACCAGCTTCTCAACCTGGAAGTAAACCTTGTAATAAGTAATGACCAATTTACTATCTTTCAGGTCATTCAAAATAATTGATCTCATTCTACCTAAGGAGAGATGACCTCATCTAGGAGAATTGTATGGCTGGACTTTCCAGATCCGGAAATGGTTGCAAAAATATTTGTGAGGAGGAGGGGACACACAGTTACTAAATTCTTTTTCCCCAGTTCCAGAGACCCTTCCTGCATTAGCAAATAACAGGTTGAGAGTTTCTCAACATAATTTAACATAGCTTTTAAAAATGACTCCACACAATAAAGAAAAAAAAACAACCCTAGCTTTTCCCTCTTAGTATCCCTTCTATCTCCCATGAACACTGCACTCCCAAAAGGTTGACCCCCTGACCTGCATTTTTAGTAGATTAAAGTTCATAATCTTTGAAATCAAAACACAAGAGCTGTGTTTATACATGACATACTTATCCAACGGACAACTGAATTATGGTATGTTAGATTTTGGGGGGTTACTACCATCAACTATTCTCACAGGGTCAATGTGCACATTACAGTCTAAAAAGCGATTGCCAGGATCATATTTAATATGTTGAACAAACCCTGTTGCAGCTTTGCAGAAGTAAATGTAAAGTTTTATTCCTGTTTTATATATTCCGCCACTTTGGAGACGTGGGTGGTAGATTTGTTTTCTCTACACTTTTCTTGCTGTTTTGTAATCATGACAAAATGAGGACAAAAAGGATTTGACATCCTGTGTGGCCTTCATGTGAACCACACAGGAAGAAAAACCACATTTTATAGCCTTGTTCTACCAAGATCTGATAACTGTGTTTAATTATCGTTATAGCATTCAAACCAGCATCACTGAACCTAAATGTAAAAATAAATAAAAGTTCTTTTTTTTCCTCTTTCAAGTGCTCCCACCTGGAAATGATAGTTAGCCAACCTAACTTCTATTTCTTATATTACTCTCCTCAAAGCAAGTCATTTTCTGCACCTGGCAGAGATGATGTAGTGACTGGATGACTGATGAGAAAACTTTAAAACATGAAATGCTTACATTGCAGTTATGCTAGTCAATCTGAAATAAACAGATCTGCTTTCCACAGGGAGAGCCCCTTCAACTATCTGAAATCTCTTACCTCAATATTCTTTTTCCTGAGTGTGTGTGTGTGTGTGTGTGTGTGTGTGTGTGGTTTTCAAATATGACTCAAATAACAGATCATTGTATACTACAGTTAAGCTACTTGGCTTTTCAAACTTGCACTGTGAGTTTTCCAAAGTTACTCAGATTTGCACAAGGATATACATTCCTTAATAAACTTAAAGCAAAAGAAACTATGCTAGGGATGTTTGGGGGGGGAACACCCCTTCAGTTACAAATTGTTAACATCTGCATTTCAGCACTCCTAAGTTTAAAAACAAGATTATTCAGTAGCAGCACAGAAGTTTAACATTTTTCATGTCCCAAAACTCTCTGTGCATTCTCCTAGCATTAACTCTGTAACCAAGATATGTTTGGCAAGTTTGAAGGCATTTTTTTGTTCTGAATCTCCTTTTCTCCTTTCACTCAAGAGGTAAGCCTTGGTCAGCTAAGGTAGCCTCTCATTTAATAGTTCCAAGAGAAACTGTTAAGTTTGTAGCTACCTCTTGTAGCCTTCATACATTCCTTGACAGGGCAGTAGCTGTGACCATCTGGTGAGATCTATTTGACTCAGAAGAAAAAAAAAAACCTCACTGTGAGTCTTGTTTCTAAATTTATAATAAGTTCCCATTTGAGAACTTACATTAGTACCTTGTTTTTCTTACATTTCTTTCATTTTTACATGCGTAAGCAGCATATATTCCATTTATGACTCATATACTGTGTGATCTTATTATTTTTTTTATTCTTCCAGCATCTCTAGATCTCAGAGATCTGGTTTAGTTCCATTATCTGATCTACAGGAAAACACTAGTAAAACTGAGAAAATGGCTTGAACCTAAGTTCTCAGACCAGTTCCTTCATCAGTCAGCAGTATGGCCACATGTAAACCAGTCTTTTACAATGTTTCTTTTTAATCATTTGCATGTTCTTCCACACTAAGATATGTATGTAGATATAAGATATATATCTACATATATATCATAACAAGCTCAGTGTCTTAGCCACTGAGCCACCACATCCCCAGATATAAAACAGCTTATACAAAATATAATATGCAGTCAGTTTTGGTTAGTACATTGTGTGCGCCCAAGTATTGTGATTGTGGCTTGTAATGCCTTAGTATAGGATAATAATCCAGGCATCCTGATTTCTAAACTATATATTTTTTGTCTTAGCATATTAAGTGAATTCCACGAACTGGCTTAGAACAATGTGTGAACAGACCTATACTTGCTTCTAAACTAAAGCCTTCCAACTGATGCTACAGATCAAGTTGGTTTAAAATAAGCCTGAAGAATTTAAACTTTTCCCAATGTTGCTGAGTATCAACTGCTTGCCAGCATGCCTAATAATAAGAGATGTAGCAGTAGTGGGTTACCTGTGGTTTGGTAGAATCGGTAGTAAAACCAGAGGGAGGCTTCACCCACTGACCCCGATGTCATCAAAACGCTTCTGTGCACGCGCAGAAGAGCACGCGTGCATGGCCCCATTATGAACCGGTAGTAAAAGTAAGTAGAACCCACCTCTGGATGGTAGGAGCTGTAACTCACTAACATCTGAAAGAACACTTATACCTTTTGAAAGAGTGAAATAGTCAAAAGATATAGGATGCAAAATAACTATCCCATATTTAAATTATTAGATTTATTCCCCCATTTCTTCCAAAGACGTTAATATAAAACAGGTAGACTTTTCCCCTCTCTTTAACCTCCATTGACACTCTGGTTGGAAAATACTATATAGTTTAATTAGTTTATGGCCTAATGCATATTTGAGCCCAGATCCTATTCCAATATTAACTCCTACCAGGCTGTTCTTCATTTCTTATGCAACTAATTTTGCATACAGCTAGAACAAATACAACCTCTCATTAAAACCAAATGTTCCCCTATTCTGATCTATTGTTTTTGCAGACAAATCCAGCAAGGTTGAATTAATGTGCCTTTTAAATGTTATGTGAAATATATAATCATATGCCTTTCAAATGCAACATAAAATACAGTATAATAATAATTAACCTAAATAATTAGGTTCACTTTCATTTGGGCTTCAAGAAGCAAAGTTTGAAGTATGGGTACATGATTATACATACACCTTTTGCTTGATCCATATTAAAAAGGGAACAGGCTTTTTTCTCTTTCTTTCTTTCTTTCTTTCTTTCTTTCTTTCTTTCTTTCTTTCTCTCTCTCTCTCTCTTTCTTTCTCTCTCTCTTTCTTTCTTTCTTTCCTGATGCTATCATTCATTCCACTCTGAAACATAAAACCACTATGCCTCATCTAGCCATATACTTTTGTATGCATTTATATATCCGGATGTATATGTTAACTCCTGGACCTTCAATATCACATTTCATGGAGCTGTTTTACTCCTCCACATGGTACGTATTTCCATTTCAACATCTGACTATATTGTATATGTTTAAAATAACAAACCATGGGGAATTTTTAAAAAAATGAAATAGTGTTTTTTTTTTTTAAAAATGTATTTAAATGCTGGCAGATTTGGGGCAGATTATTTTGTTTGTGCTCTTGGGTAACAGTAAAACAGTTGCTATCCAGGTTTATTTCAAATGAATGATTCTCCCTTACAATGTTTATTGTCTGACTACAACGGGAATG